ATCTCGTCATCTGTGGAAAATTTCTGCTGTGGCTCAATATAATCCTGTTGTCGAATCTCCAAGAAGTTCCGAGGCACTCCTGCTTCGGAGCTGGAGCAGCCGTTGGCAGACCAGTGCCGGTTCGTCACGGCCTGAGGACCCGCGCTGGCCCGCGGCGTGACTGGACGCGACGTCATGCGATCGTACACGTGCTGGGAGGGTCACCCCGACCCGGCACTACGCAGACCGTAGCAGCCATGCGTGAGGAAATCTTGGACAAATGGGGGCAGGTCTGCACCGCGCATGGTGTGTGCGGCTGTGCTGTCCGTATACGATCACGCACGCATGTCAGAGGTACTGCCGGCCTGGACCAGACTCCTGCTTCGCCGACAAGTGATCGACACCAGCTGAATAACGAATTTCATAGGTAGGGGGTGAGCAGTCTCCAAGCTGCTTCGAATGTGGACGGATTCCGCGGGCAGGCTGGTGGTAAACAACGGAGCAGCTGCACACACTACCAAAGGAGGCAGCTCGGAATGCAAAAAACCGGGCGACACGACACATGTGCCGTGTTGAAATCAACTAACACATGAACAACTGAATATACTACAGGTCAAAACAAACATCGGCTTCATCGCGTTCAAAAAGGCTACAGAGACCATTTTCATTGAGCAGAAGTTGTGAACGATTCGGGAGAGGAGGAATCTGACAGATATAAGCTCAGCATAACCAAAGGTGCACACTATACCACCTATTGTAGCTTGCGCCAATTGAGTCTCTCTCTTTCTCTCCCTCTCTCTCCCTCCCTCTTTCTCTCTCTCTCCCTCTGTCGCTCTCTCTCTCTCCCTCTCTCTCTCTCCCTCTCTCTCTCTCTCTGTCGCTCTCTCTCTCTCTCTCTCTCTCTCTCTCTCCTCTCTCTCTCTCTCTCTCTCTCTCTCTCTCTCTCTCTCTCTCTCTCTCTCTCTCTCTCTCTCTCTCTCTCTCTCTCTCTCTCTCTTCCCGCATAAAGCCATCTATAGGGGTGAGAAAGTGAAACAAGTGAACAAGTGAACTAGTGAGCAAGAGAACAAGTAAACAAACAAGCACTTTTCCGTTGGCGGAATGTCTGTCAATTTGGAACGGCGTAAATCGTCATCTAGAGCCAAATCTCCCAGAAACCGTTGTCATTTACATCTAAAAGCGATGAACCACACAAAACGAAAGCGGGCCAGTGGGCTTAAGGCCGGTGAGCACGTCAGTTCGGCTCAAACCTAAGACATCACATGTGCAGATAAAGACGAGAACACGTTTGGTCAGCGGCCGTATCGCAACCATAATTACGCTATTTCACGACATACTGGTGCAATATCAGTGATGGAGAAAAAGCCCTTGCATGGTTAAATCCATCCATAAAAAACACTCTCCATTGCTATCAGTTATAAAATTTTATGTTACGAACTGCATTATCTCAGGTTAAGAATTGCTATGTTGCGTCATATCACCTCCATTTTTCTATGCCTTTAACTGCAAAGTCTGAAACGAGATTTCATAGCCTCCCACCATGCCTAAAATATTCAAATTTCTAGCATTCTCAATCCCCCATCCAGAACCACCAACCAGACATACAACAATGAATACCTATTTCATGGCCTGGTGTACGTGGATGGCGGGTCAATGTCTGCGTAATGAGCCGCGCTGAGCGAGATTGGTTTAATATTTTGCATTTCGGGCGCCGTTCTTATTTCGTTATATGACTAACTTGTTTAATCTTTAATGCCATTATATTTTAGTACAGCGAATGAAACAACATAGGACCTTTTTAAGTGGAATTTGGACGGCGTGCATATCATATCTACCCATAGTATTTGTCCTCTAACCTGTTCTGAATATTATCGCGTATAGCAATCAAATATTCCAGTTATTGAGCTAGAACCTTATCACTGCATGTCACAAACTTGCGAATAAAAATAGAGCAAGGCTTAAACTACTTCTTGCAAAACGCAAGAAGTGTCATTAATGCTCTGCATCTCAACAGAGCGTGCGGTGCCAGTACCTCGCCGCAACGGCGGTGGACCGGTGGACCGATCAGTGGAGGGTCACTCTCGCGATCACTGGGACTGTCCAATGTGCGGCGCAGGAGCGGCTAGATATGTGACACAGGAGGGGCCGCGTGTCCAAGACAGGGACGGCCGTCGGGCACAGAAGACGCCTCGTGCCCGACACATGACAGACCATGTGTCCGACAGACCATGTGTCCGACAGACCATGTGTCCGACACAGGAGCAGCCGTCCAGCACTGAGCCGGCCGTGTTTCCGGCGCAGGGATGGTCGCGTGTCTTTTCGCTCACCCTTCTTTTCTTATTTTTGCTTTATCTTGCATCCTTGCAACGCCTCACTTATCAGCGGCTACATGCACCAGCTATGAACGAGCTTAAAGGGAGTGTCCTGCCTTTGGGATAAGTCTTAAAAAGTATACTCTAGTGAAGCAACGAGCCCGGTTAGTCTAATACTAGCACCGGATAGTGCAGCACTGCCAGGACATAAGGATATCAGTTTTAATTATTTTCAAGTCCAAATTACGCTGTCGACGCCTTATAACATCACTACGCGTCTTCCCTGCGGATAACGCGACCGCCGTGGCACCTCCAACAGTGCGAACAAAAGTACGTTTGTGATTGTGAACGGGCAAGGGCCTGTTGCCCATAAGTTGGTTGCTTTAAGTTTGATCAAGTGCGTCACGTGGATCATGTAATATTCTTATTCCCAGAACCGAAGTGGGCCTAAAAAAGCGCCCCTGTAGTGAATGGCATAAGGAGGAAATAAAAGCCAAAGTACAATGTTTCTGTTAGCTCGCTGGATAACAGTTTTATGTTCGCGAATCTTTTTATCTTAACAGTCTTCCAAGCTTTCTGTTTTTACACAGGCATGTTTACAAATTAGTGCGTTGCAAACATTACAGAACACTTTGAAAAGAGCAAAACAAATAAGATGTATTTCTGCCATAGTGGTGAGCATAAGGTTCCCTGAAATTCCTCTCGCGGAAGCGGCTACTGCAAATCGAAATTCTGAGTTATTCAGAACGCTGTCGAGAAAACTTGCAATGCTGATCAAATCGCACGCATATAATCTAACAATAAGTAAAAGGTACAAAACGGTGGTATGCCTCTTTTCACAATTGTTTAACTGCATCTATCAAAATGGTCTTTTGCCCTTTCGTGACCTTTGGTGAGATTACATTTAGTCTAAGGCACACAAATTTGGGTGTTAATGCTTCATAATTTGACAACATCTTTGCAACGATATCTTTGTTTTTCTCGCACGTCTTGAAGTGAGAGATTCCGGGGAAAGTCAACTCCCATCCCCCCTCCCCCCTGCCGGGCGCGGTTGTCTTAGACCCTTCTGCCGGGCGAAGGCTAAGTTATTGGATACCCAGTCATACTTACGCCATAGCTCGTACTTTTCAGTGCAAAACCCGAAGTATGGAACACCCCCTACAAGATGCAAGGCGTCGTATTTGCCCCTATTGATACGTTTGAAGTGTTAGTATGAAATTTCCAGTGACAACACCGGCACAACAGAAATGGATTATGCCAAGAACTTGTTTTGAAAACATGGGGGCACTGTAGTAAGCCGAGCCCGCTCAGTCGAGGACCATGCATATCAGTGCCCGGTGTAAATTAAACCGTGTTCAGCAATCCACGACACACGTCACATGAGACTTAAAGGGAATATTTCACATTTGAAGGGATTGATGCAAACATCGGAAATGATGGAATAAGCTCACTTATAACCTTTTGGTATGCTTTTTAAGTGGAAAAGACTGCTCTAGACTGCGCAACTTTCTGTCTAGTAAATATGCTCTTCAATGCGTCATGGTTTCGCTACGTCATCTTACCTTGCACGGCATTAATTGAGAGCCAATTGATGGCCGTTATATCCATAACTCACGCTCACAAACGCCAGCTATGAACGCCTCAACAATACTATTTTTCTTGGCCTCGCTCGCCGCGTGGGTCATGAACTGGCAGAATTTGAGTGACGTTATTACGTCAAATGCCGGGGTGACTTTGAAATACTCTCCCCGGTATACCTCTCTCCATTTTCGCGGGCATGTAGCTCAGAAACTAGAGGGGCTTAGGCCTTGAGAAGAGGAGGGTTGTAGACAGTGCCGAAAGGACTTCAATGTGTTATTTCAGTTCAAGACCCCATATAAATGTGGAACACTCCCTTTAACATTCAAAACATGCCTGCGTCTCAGGAACTGACTTTGAGCTGCTTGATATGCGGTTTGCAAGAAGGTGGGCGTTGTTTTTGTGGAACTAATGAACTTAGCTCGATAGGCACTCTTTACTCTTTCACGCGTGATTCAGGGTGTGTAATAATCTCCTTTTTCACTGGGGCCACATGCCGCGCCGCTGGTGGTTACGTCTCATGCAATGCGCCAAACCGAGTCAGATCGACCCATGGAATTTACACAGACGCGGAGCCCAGGTCATTGTGACCGAGACATATCCAACACATTAGCGTTGTTCTCCTCAATGAGCTTCGCAACAGTCACCAGAAACAGCATCATTCAAACACACTTATCGCGTCGATGAAACTAGTTGTCTTAATGAGACACTTTTACGTGCACGGGCCACCGGGGAGGTGTTCCGGGCGTTAAGGACCACTCGCATATTTGTGATGAACAGTCCGATTACACTGGTCTATATGGTAATGCCAAGTGCAATCAAACAAAATGGTGATTCTCAGATACAACTTACAGTGCTTAGATGGTATGTTCTCAAAGGTGTTTGCTGAGGCGTTATATTTTCATCACGGAAGGACGGCTGCAAGATGTGGTTGACGTGCTCCAACATGCACGGACGGTGCTTCGTATGGGTGTGTTTCTACTGGTGATGTACTCAGGGGTGTATGCTCAAATGGTATGCCACTGGAGGTTGTTTCCCTGGGCACTGTGTTAAGATGGTATGTTCTGTCTCTAGTTGTCACGTGATCCGGTCTTTGGATAGCGTGTCGTCACCAAAACTATCTCATTTCAGCCAGAAGAAGGAGCGGCGCGATATCGCATTCCACCCGAATGGCACGTTATCAGCGCGGCTTGTTACCAAGCTGTTCTTCATCTGGGAGGACTCGGCCGGGTCCGAAACAGACCTCATCACCACGATCAACGTACCCATGATCGTAGGTCACGCCCGCGGCTCTACAGGGGGCAACGGCGACCGGCACGGTGCCCGATCGATTCGGAGACAGCGGAGCATTTCCAGCTTCGCTGGATTTATTGGTGCTCGGTACAGTTTACTATTACATTGCGAGTCGTTGCTGACCTGCTTATTAGCAACCAATTTCGATTTTTCAACCCTACCGTTTAATTTTCTTCGGTCATATCGTTCACGTCTTTCCGCGCGCGAAACTGGTTGCGTTCATCCAATCCACCTCCCGCATTCCGCAATGTTAAATACTACTTCTGCACCTGCTTTACACGCATCAAAGGCCTCTATTAATCCGATCACATAGCTCCCTATACTTCAAATTGGCAGCTGGTCACCGCTAGGAATCCTGGCACACGCCTCACGCCCCCACATACACGCAGGGCTCGGGTGTGCAAAGCACGTGGGCGCAGGGCATCGTACACTGAACCTCCCACTCCCCCGCCACCTCATCCTCGTCAAGTTTTATCATCCAATCGAAAAGGAAGAAAGAAAGAAAGAACGGCGTACGTTACACTTCGACAGTGCGCGACAAGATGCTAAACCCGCAAGAACTAACTCGGTAACACAGGAGCTCCTGCACGGCACGGCGGGAGCTGGTGCTGGTCCGCAAACGCGAGTGGGGTGCGCATTGGTGGGGGCTGAAATGGAAGCGGGCCTGCCGCTGATAGGGAGGCGCGGCAGGCGGCTGACTCGGTGGCATTGCCTGTGGGATGGCCAGCTTTGGTGACCGGGCGGGGCAGGCGTCCATCGCAGCGGCGCGGTCCGCTGTCCGACCAGAGCGTCAGCCGCTGTAGATCGTGCCCGTTCACGATATAAGAGCTGGTAGCGTAGCGGCGCCTTAGCACGCATTTGCGCCACACAAGTACGTGCGTACGTGATTATAAACGTGCGATGGCGAACACATGGCTCAAGACTATGTAGCGCATAACTGGAACAGGGTGCGACTGAGGCCGTCAGCATGTGACACTAGTATCGGAACGACCTCCGTTTACAGGGCTAGAAACTTGGCTCATTCACCTGTCCAGGGCCTACGCTGTTGCCGGGGACCCTGTGTGTTCGCTTGAAAGGTCAATCTGACTGCTAGGGAGCCTTCCACGTTGCCATTAATTCATTTACATTTGTTGAGTGGGCCTTGCGCTATTCTCGGGGCCCTATCTGCTGGCGCACCGGGGCATCCTTATCGATCAGGGGCGCTGCGCGAATTCTTCCCATTCACCGGAAAGGCTCTGTACGCCACAGGCCCTATATGCTGACCTGCCGGGGTACTCTCGGTTGCAGTCAGGGGCCGTTCACATTGGTCTCGGTTAGCGTAATGACACACTCACAATATGCCTTGGGCCCATTACATTGGTCTAGGGCCCTTCTAATTTCCCGTCATTTTTGGTAGGCCCTACACTCTCATCGTTGGCTCGATCTATGAATCCGCATTAGGGGTGGGGGGCTCAGCCCCCCCCCCCCGAACGCATAAGTGACACCACTATCTGCGTCCCTACCGGTGATGGGACACAGGTGACGTGACGCCCGCGTCTCTGTCGGTGGTGCGCTGCCGGCGTGTGACGCATTGTGCCTGTATCGGCGATGGGATGCCGGCGCTGTTACGTCTACGTCTCTTCTGCTGGTGGTATGCCGGTTACGCAAACTTTGTGTCTTCGTTGGCGATGGGATGCCGGCGACGCCGCCCGTACCTCTGTTGGCAGCTGGCGGCGGAGAAGGCGCGCTTCCAGCCGCCCGTGATGCGGCGGACCATCTCCGCCACGTTGGAGGCGCTCGGGGAAACGCCCATCATCACCAAGTCGGTGCGCGATCTGGTGTCCGGGTATCCTGACCCGCTGCTCAAACTGGCCAATGACATGCAACCACCCCGCCAGAACAAGCGTTTCGATAAATTTGGCTTCTTCATCAAGGTATGTGTGCCTGAGATAGGGTGCCCCTGGCGAGGGAGGTGATTTTTTCGCCGGTTTTCGCTCCTGCTCAGTCACCATAAGAGGCTGAATCTGGTCCTCCAACATGCAGCTAAAATGTGACACAACTCTCGTAATCGGTTTGCAGGTTGGACCTTAGTTTCGACGACTTACGGGAAACGCCACCTGCTGCTGAATAATAAGGAACAACATCCATCTTTAAAGATGTAACACTTGCAACATTTTTGCAACGCATGCACGCACGCACGCATACATATACATATATACACACACGTATACATGTATATATATATATATATATATATATATATATATATATATGACGTGTGTGTGCGTGTGTGTGTGTGTGTGTGTGTGTGTGTGTGTGTGTGTGTGTGTGTGTGTGTGTGTGTGTGTGTGTGTGTGTGTGTGTGTGTGTGTGTGTGTGTGTGTGTGTGTGTGTGTGCGCGTGTGTGTGCCATTTTTACCACTTACCATTTTTGGTTGCAAGCATCTTCAGCAATATGCACCTCCCAGACAATGTGCGTTTTCATGAATATATCAATCTACACATCGACGTGTATCGGCACAACTAATGCTATGCCATGGTCTTCCTTTTTTGTGGGAGTAAGGTGCGTTTGCCGTTTATACATGCCATTTTGCAACTATCTTTTAAACCTTGATAACATCAATGAACTATGCTGTTTAAAAGCTGCCATGCATTTCCACTCGATATTGCAGACATTGGTATATTTATGTGGATTGTCAGCACGTGCTCGGATGGGAGTGTATGTAAACCTCTCCCCCCAAAAGCTGTTTAGAAAACTTCCGAATAGCGCGGGATAGCAGCACTACACGAAATTTGCAAATTGGCAGTGGGACCGAGATACTGTCAAGGTTCTATATGGTAAACGCTGTGCCTCCTTCCGTCAGCACATTGGAGGAGCGGACATCCCTTAAATGCGTTTCTGGTCGTGAATCGCAGTCGGTTTTAGACGAAGAATTTAAGCTCAATCTCGTTGATTTCACCAGCGTGGGCTGCGCCAGCGGACTATTTATCGAAGAAGCCATTCTACGCCGCACATTTCTTGATTGCGGCGTACGACTTCCCGGCTCCTACGAGAACTTGTAAAATTTGTCACAAGAAACGGGATCCTGTTGATGATGAGCGTGTAAGCCCATCATCATGCCATTATCACTCAAGCTCAATTCCAGACGCGTCGCTTCTTCCTGTTGCGTGGGATCCGGACCCAAGGGACGCGACCCGGGGCTCGTACTTTCAGAAAGCGAAGGCCCCGGCCTTGACCGCGGTGGGAAAATGGATTCTTAGGCCCAAGCTAACACGGAGCCGACTGTTTAGTACTGGTGGTGCCTGACCGGCATAGAGACCTTCTCGACCATCTAGTACCAACCGAAACATGAGCCTTTTCTTTAAGCTATCCCGTAGCTAGGAGAATATACTAGCTACGGGAAATACCGTATCCCGTAGAGTGACGGTAAAATGTAGTCATCTTTCGTCTATGGTATAGTCATCTATAGTCAAGTTTAACTGGGCCTTATTTTGCTGTCTGTTACAGCCAGGATCTCCATACTGTCATGGCTGGTGGCAACTAACAAGATGAAGCCGTGTGCTAAGTTTAAATCTTTTTTGGAGATAATTATTCTATGAGCGTGCATCAAAGTTTCTCCTTGCGTAAAGGGATAAGTATAGAACAAAGCTACCCATTTTTACAAGATTATAGCCGATTTTTACACCAACTACGTGACGAGTAACTTAACATTTCCGGCGATGGCCTTTTTAGAAAGCTTTGACGTTTTAGGTCATGCCGCCCTTATCAGGCATCAGCCCTCGCCTTGAAGGTGCCATTACGATAGTTTAACGGCACAAACAGCTTTTTGATTTAAACAGGGACAGACATAGCCGCTCGTCATATCACTAACCTTGCTACGACTATCCATGAACCTGTCGGACCTCAGACAGTGTTTACTCGATCCATGGGGTCGGGAACAGAAAAAAACATAGGTTCAGTGTCTTGCTGCTAATCATGAAATATAATTTCGGATCGAATTTCATGATACGCATCCCTATTTTAAATCTGTATTTTTCTTCAAGAAAGATATTGGCAAAAACTGTTTTTGGTTAGATATTATACGGCTTAAACGCATGCAAACGAACATTTTGACCCTTTTATTTCAAACATTGCATTTCAGTTAGTATAATGCCCAATATAGAATGCTTTTCACCGTGGGATTTGCCTTAACAAAATATATAATTTACTGGCATTTGTCCTTCACGAACTCGTTTCCTAGACTTTAAAATAGCCAGCATCGAAAAGAAGATACAGCCGTCACGTTGGTTGATACGCCTGCGCATGCAGGCAAACAGTCAGACAGGTTCCTCATCGTCGTCGTCGTCCCTAAAATCAAATATACCCTCGCCGTTTGGGGGTCTATAATACCCATTAATTACCCATTAATTACCCATTAATACCCATTAATTGTGAAACGCATCTCGCAACATGATGCTGTTGGCTAAATATGATGCCTGGCTATGTAAATACTGGTTGGAACAGGCAACCCATGGATGACGGTAACCCATGGCTGACGGAAAGGTCAGATATCTCGCGGACCGGTCGTGCCGTAATCTCTGCAAGCTTCGTAGCACAGTTCTTGCAACCTTTCCGATGACGGTGTCCTAACACCCAGTCGGCTGCCCCGCAGAAGAACAACTCTATCGAGCAGCCGATGCTCATCAACACGGGCCAGTCGGATTGGCGACGCATCGGCGTGATCGAGCGCTACGACGGCTCGCGCACGCTGCCCTTCTGGAACACCCGGCAGTGCAACATGATAAACGGCAGCGGCGGGATATATCCGCCCGGCGCCCATGAGGGCACCACCTTGTACGCTTTTGCTCGCCAGCTCTGTCGCAGCTTACCGCTGCTGTTCGAGAAGCAGGTGCTGCACAGCAAGGTGCGCACGCTGCGTTTTACGCCGCCTGAAGACGTGTTCGACAGCGTCGACACCAAGCCCGAGAACATGTGCTACTGCGTCGGAGGTCCCCCATGTGCGCCCAAGGGGCTCTTCAACACCTCGATCTGCCAGAACGGTGAGATTTCGGCAGTGGCTTGATGGTGTTTCCTGTGTGGTCTGAGATTCATCAGTGGGCGGCGAGATTCGGCCGCGTGGTTCTAAAGGCTGTCGCTTAGTCTATGCTGACTTTGATGGGAGGAATCCCAGGCAACGTTGACGTAGCATTTTAGATACGTTGCCAGATCCGCACGAAACTTTGGAAAGGTATGCACGCTGGCTGACCAGCGCTGCTATGTCTAGAATTGGACGATACGTTAATGGAACTTATTGTTCCGACTTCCACACGTCGAATGTCCTAGTGTTTCAACATCTCAGCTCACGCCACGCTAACAAATACCATACGCACAAATACAACAGTAAAACACCACCTCAACACCACCTAAAAACCTAAAAACCTAAAACCTAAAAACCTAAAACCTAAAAACCTAAAACCTAAAAACCTAAAACCTAAAAACCTAAAACCCTAAACCTAAAACCTAAAAACCTAAAACCTAAAAACCTAAAACCTAAAAACCTAAAACCTAAAAACCTAAAACCTAAAAACCTAAAACCTAAAAACCTAAAACCTAAAAACCTAAACACCACCTGAAAACACCACCTCAACTGCGGTGCCATGGCCTTTTGAACACTTAATGAGTTTGAGTAAACTGAAATTGGTTCATTTCTTTTCTGTTTCGCCGTTTCAGCACAGAGAAGCTAGAAGCTGCCGCAGCTGGCAATCTTCTGCCCCAACTCGCTGTTTTTCATAAAGCGCACTGTTGGGGAGAGGAAGGAAGGGTCACACCGACCCCCTACCATTTTCAGGCTGATAAAGATAAGGCCCAAAAAAAGCTACCATTAGATTATTCTCAACAAGATCTCGCATTTTCAATGCCTGTTATGTTACTCGGCCATTGGTTATCCCCATTATGCTAGGTCAAAGGTCAAAAGTTTCCGAAAATAACACCTTTTCAGCTTTACAAACTCAATTATACGAGACTGTGCCCTGCAGCGACACAAAATATATATCAGTGCGTCCTATTTTTAGTTTTGAGTACAATAGTGTATATGCTGATGTGTTGTGAGCATCAATGTCTTTGATAGCGCTCCGTCAATGTAACAATGCCGGTTCGCCGGACGCCTTCCATGACATCGTCCGCCGACAGTCGCTCGCGCGGCCGTGGATCGCCGTGCGGTGTTTCCGACAAAACCCGCTGTTTCCCAGAAACTAGAACAGCTGAGGGCATGTTTTTTTCAAAACACGCACAATAGATGCCCCATAAGCCGCCGAAAATTTGAGCGTGATTGCGTCACAGGTCGGATAATTATCCTAAAAAATTAAGGGGCGCATCGACCGTCAGTGAAAACGAGAGTTAAAGGATCATGCATTCAATGACTGCATCGTATAAATTGCCGGTGCTATTCATTTTAGAATGACTCAGCGGGCTATTTCTAAACGGACAGCAGCCAGGAGTTTGGTCAAAATTGTTGGCGCACTACAGATAACTTGAGCGGCCCATGGATTGAAAGTAGATCACACAAAAATCGGGTCAAAAATTTGTATTGATATGATAACCGATGTTCACCGGGGGTGCTGAACCTTTATTCAAAATTGGCGGAAATGATTAAAAACAGTTTTGAGCGTGCGTGCTCGCAACGCTCCACCCAAGAACAGCAACACCCGGCGTTTGGTCTCTACGGGCCGGACGGTGTAGGCAACGTGGTTAATATGAGGCACCGCTCAACAACGTTCAAAATAATAACTTCGAGCCCTTTATGCGATCAATACCTACGCGCAAAATATATTGTTGATCGTTGACACGCGCAATTTTCAGGTTGATAATGGGGACGGGTCAGCATATTTTCTTTTACAGAACCATGAGCTCCAGACGTATGGGTTGAATTGCTACTATTGGTGTTGCTGTAACTGTTAACAGGTCTGCAGGGTGAACCTTGAAATTATGCTGGTGCAAGAACGCATCAGCCTGATTTTTAAACCGAACGAATTGATTTCAAGCGGCTTTCGGAAGCTTCTTGACGCGAGAGGCCCTCTGACCAGCGCATTTGGACTCGGATCGACGCGAAATCTTCACTGACGCATAAGTATGCCTTAGCGGCGTAGGATGTCCAACAGTTGGCACAGTGACTCCAGTTCGGCTTCCGGGGCACTAACTGACACAGGCACCTTCCATTGCCACATTATGGACTCTTTTATGGTAAGCTCTTGCTTCATCGTCGGAGAACCCTGCCCGACGCAAGACGGCCTTTGACGTTCGAGGTCCCGTCCCTGTACTTGTTTAGCAACTTTGCCCTGGCCGACTCGGGGACCCTTGCCAACACGGGAACCCCCTTACAGAGTTACTCTCTCTCTCTCTCTCTCTCTCTCTCTCTCTCTCTCTCTCTCTCTCTCCTCTCTCTCTCTCTCTCTCTCTCTCTCTCTCCTCTCTCTCTCATCCTCTCTCTCTCTCTCTCCTCTCTCTCTCTCTCCTCTCTCTCCTCTCTCTCTCTCTCTCTCCTTCTCCTCTCTCTTCTCTCTCTCTCTCTTCTCTCTCTCTCTCTCCTCTCTCTCTCCTCTTCTCTCTCTCTCTCTCTCTCTCTCTCTCCTATCTCCTCTCTCTCTCTCCTCTCTCTCTCTCTCTCTCTCTCTCCTCTCTCTCTCTCTCTCTCTCTCTCTCTCTCTCTATCTCTCTCTCTTCTTCTCTCTCTCTCTCTCTCTCTTCTCTCTCTCTCTCTCTCTCTCTCTCTCTCTCTCCTCTCTCTCTCTCTCTCTCTCTCTCTCTCTCTCTCTCCCTCTCTCTCTTCCTCTTTCCCTCTCTCTCTCTCTTTCCCTCTCTCTTTCTCTCTCCCTTTCTCTCTCTCCCCCTCTCTCTTCCTCCCCTCTCTCTCTTTCTCTGTCTATTTCAGACGCCTTATCCGATATAGATCACTGGCCTCGGACTTTTCCTTCTTTTGCATTTTTGGTCGTTGTCTTGAGATGATTCATTTTACGTCTTGATTCATTTTACGATTTTTTGCACAAATCAAAGAAATAAGTTGTTAATGAGATAACAACTTCTTTAAAGTTCTACTCATCAGCAATAGCGGTACGGAGCTGCATGCCAGTCTTGTTTGTTGAGCTAATCACAAACAGGTCACGTTTTGTCTGTATGCTGACATCACCTGTTAGTAGGTTCCCGTCTAATCCTGAATCTGTACGTGTTGCCAACTTGACAAACGTCCCTTATGAACACGGCCACGCTGCCATGTCCGATATGCGGCAGTCTGGCAAGACTTCTGCCAACTGCCTCGTGCTTCATACCCACAAGTTGAGTGCAAGCTGTTCAAAAATAATTGAAGCGTGCTTGACCATAATCGACGCAATGTCTTTGGAATCACAATTGCGCCACACTCTGGTTGCGTTGATATTATGCTGCCAAGGTTTGTTTATTTTTTATTTCGTCTACTATTTCCAGCAGTCTGACAACCGCTTACACTAAATAACCGAAGCTCTTGTGTAAACAGAATGTAAGCGTAACGCGTTACCCTCACTATGGTGTTTTGCCCATCGCAACAGGTCGCCTTGCCACCTTTGCTGTAAATGGAGAGTGCTCTCTCGAGTCGGCGCGATTTTCGATGCAAATTGTACGCTTTGCGTGACCTTGCATGATCTCGGTTGCAGGATCTCCAACGTTCATATCATTCCCTCACTTCTACCTGGCCGACCCGTCCATCCCTGCCAAGCTGGACGGCCTGCGACCCAGAAAAGAGGAGCACCAGTTCTTCATGGACATTGTGCCGGTAAGAGAAGTACCACTGGTGCGGTCACGGTCCACACTGAACGGGTTCGCACAACTCCTGCAAAACAAGCCCTGCACACCAGATGGAACTCTGCCAGTGCTTCGGCCGCTGCTGAAAATGGCCAAAACAGTCGTCTGACAGGAGTCCAGCAGGCCAAAATTCGAAACTGACATCAGTAGCCTAGTGAGCCACTCACCTTAACGGACAGGCGCAGACTCGGTCGGTTGGGTTTTGGGGGACCTAGAGAACAGTAGACTGGTTTAAACCAGCCGCGCACTCGCCATCTATCTATCTATCTATCTACCTATCTATCTATCTGTATATATATATATATATATATATATATATATAATAATACCAGCTGTATCCCCGTCCATCACATGACCTGTGCGAGCTAGTGGATTGACGTAACGTGCATGCAATACATAACAGTGGCTGCAACAGTGGAAATGGCTGGTATATCACTGCATCACTGCGTAATGGCATACCCTATAAAAGCTTGTGCCCTTTGATTGCAACATGTTCCGAAGCGTATCTGTTTCGGTGTGTAAATCCGGGTGCGTGTTGTGAATTGCATATTTCTATACGCCATGTTTGCGCGATACGTAGATTGATGAGAGATATAAAATGCCATCAAATTTATTTATGCGCAAAAGTTGATATCTAATTCTGGCATAAGAGCTCAAAAATGAAATACCAGTACCTGGTCGAGTCATTCTGTGTGCAGAGTTAACAGTGAACGTTCTCATTTGAAAAAAATCGACCATCTTTTATTTTTTATTGAATTATCCATTCATTCACTTATCCATGCATTCATTTGTTGCGGACAGACAGATGAGCCACACTGCCGATCACACGTATTACCTTGACTCCTTGCTTTAAGAAATGTCAGTAAAACACACATATCAAGTGAACAATAATTTGCAACGGATGCAGCAAGAGGACGCCAAAAATGCCGTAACCTTTTCAGCAAAGCGCACTGCTACGACAAAACAGTACTCACATGGGCTTTGCGGGTGTGTTTCGGAGTCACTAAAACATCTCAGAACACATTAACATTGCAGCAGCGTTGACAAGTGACAGTAGAGAAATTAGGGAGATCCTCCAGTTGTAGTGGAGGCAAGTGCGGTTTTCTTGAACGTTTGGAATGCGTAACAACGCTCCAACTGCAGCGCAAATCTGAAGAGCAAGATTTGAAAGCTGGTCAATCGCAGGTTCTGTCTAAGTAAGCAAATTGTGGGCTCATTACAGAAGAATGGCCAAGTAATTTTCCGACTAATTTTTAACTGCTTTAATGTGCCTTATCAGCTGCGACTCATGACTAGATGGCGCAAAATCGGCATGCGCTATGGCCACATTTATCTCAGATTCGAGGTAATGCTATCCCCATGGTTTACGATTGCTTCCTGAAATAGACAGAATGGGATTCCTCAGGCATTTGAAACAGCCACCTCCCAGCATGTGGATGCGCACGGAGAGGGCGATGGAGGCGTGGCCTGACACCCACCGATGTCCGTTAAGGCTGCATAAGATCCAGCCCATGCTGCTGCGCGGAAAACTAACTCACTGATGAAGTGTGCTTCCCACGGTCAACCGATGTCCCTGGTAATCAGCACGTCACACCCAGCACCTGTCAGGCATCCCAGCAGCCAGAGGACGGGTCGGCCAGGGAATCCCATGAGTGGTGGCTTTTAAGACATCACGAAATAATGCCAACACGAACCACCCATGGAAGCTCCGTCGCTTAGCAAAGCAAGCCAGCAAGCGCTTGCTGTTATCCATGTACGCCGTTGTGATCCGCGTACTGTACTCTGCAGCGCATGCCCACCTGCACACATATAATTAAATACGTGCGATTACAATTACATGCCTTTGTCCCAGTCAAATGGTCCGACAATCTTTTTGGTATAAACACCTTTGGTATAAACACGTGACTTTTCTTTTAATTCATAGCCGGCGGCAGGCTATCGGGCGGCTGTGGATTAGTCAGCTCTTTGTACCGCCGAAGATTGCAACTCTGAAGCGGATCACATTCAGCACGCGTTCGGATGAAGTGGGGCCAATTTGACCCCGAAGATTTTTGCCAGAATAATTTCTGAAAGACACAGCGCAGCCGCACCAAACATTGACTAGCTGCAGGCAATCGAATAGCAGATATTTTGGTATTAATATGTACCTGTTAAGGTTGCTGAACTATGGCAGGTCAAAGTCAGGCCTTGGCTGTCAGCAAAGGCAATTTCTAGGGAATTGTTCTGTCTGATGCGACAGCGGAGTGTTAGACAAAGCCATGCCTCTCTGAAGCAGTTTTGGGGCGAAACACCAACTACATTTAGAAATACAATAAATTCCATTGACCTAGGATCAGGTATGAAGGTTAGACCAAGGAAAAATTGGCCCAATTTTTTACTCAAGTTCTTGGTTAAAGGGGAGGTTTTTGGTAGCTCATTTCAAATTTTTTAATGACAAGGACTGCAACAGACATGCTTCATGGGCTTTTTATAGGCCATATGATGCCACTGACCTAAAATGATTAAGCCAACATTTTGTTTTTGGAAACGTAATGGCTAGTGTAGTCCCTTACACTAATTTGAATGGAAAAATAACAGCCACTTCTTATTTCAAGACGTAATGGCTAGTGTAATCCCTTACACTAATTTGAATGGGAAAAATAACAGACATTTCTTATTTCACGATGGTTACGCGAGGAGGTTTGAAGGCACTTTGGAGGAGGACATCAGTCTGGAGTTTGACCTTGTTTGACTCTACTTGACCCAAAGTTCATAACCTAGGGACATCGAACTTTGCCATATGTGAAACCACATATGGGCTATCTTAGTTTCCGAGATCTCAGGGGGTTAAATTCACCCTCACACAACCCGAGCGAAGAGTATTCAACAGGCCGCCCGGCCGCGTGTTGAGGTATTGTGACGAAACTATCGCAAAACACTCAAATACATCATGCAGCTTCGTCCTGGGAGCCATTGCCGTCTGCCATCCCCACCTGGAAGCCATCTATCGTTGGCCGTCTTGACCTCCCGTAGTCGTGTCGCGTTCATGTCTAAGCATGCCTTATGTGAAGAAGATAATATTATTTGACTTTGTAGGCTTTTCTTGATGTGTCTTTTGTGATATGATTCTCTTGATGTGTTTTATCATCATCACATCTTCGTTTGTATCGTGTAACTTGCAACACATTGACTCGAATCAACCACAAGTCATACGTATGGAACTACTCGGTAAATTCATGACATAACGTGTCGTGTCTTTTAACAATGAGAAAAGCTGTTCGATATCGGCATATCAGTGGCGGAGGGCCTGTCGGCTCCACGCAACAGATAACCATGAGTGGTATACGCGTGTCAGATAAGCGGATCGCATAGAGCTTCTTCTTCCCGCCGCACATTGCGAGAGCGAGATGACCACGGGTCCAGCTAGGTTTTAATCGCTCGGAGCTTATTGCCGCCCGTCTGACCCCAGCAACGCTGCGCTGTGCTTGGAAAAAGTCGTGACTGCCGGGTTAAAGTCTTTGGCAGAAATCGGCAAAGATCAGGTACATGGTGCCACCGCTGTTCGCTCAGCAGCGGCGTCAGCTAACTCGCTGTCCACGATTTCGACGTTACTGAGGATCCAGTACAGAGAAACTATTTTCCAAACCCGATCCAGCTGTGTCAGAAGTGACAAAATGTTGGCATAAGAGATGGATAATAAGATTTAAGTGTAGAGAGGCTGTGCAGTGAATCCGTACGAATGGCGCGTGAAGATTCGTCGCCAACTTCTCTGGAACATGCCGCATCATAAATCACAATGATTTTGCTGTGAAAACTGACGCGTGGGCCGGTAAAGAAAAAACCGAGCGACGGAAACGCTGAAAAACGCACAACCCACGCCATCGGTGACTTTGCACCCGTCTGTATGCGTCAGAGTGTGTCCTCATGACGCCAGAAGCTCAAGTGCGCTGGATCTCATTACGTTTAGTGTGGCGTCTTTTTTCTTTACTCCTGTAAATGAGGTATGTTTTAAGGGTATGGTCACCTACCAAGGAGGAGAATCGATATGGCTTGCCTGCTTCACAATTCGGAGAGGAATTTTGCTCTCCTGTAATACGGCTGTCATTCGGAGCCTGAAATGTTCGAGCGTGCTGCTGCGGTCTGCAGAGAAGAAAACCCACAGTATACCGGGAAAATCCCGCGTGATATGTTTGGTGTGACGGAAACCGCCGCAACATTATGACATAACGCACACCAAGCACTTTCCTCTTCGCCGACAGTTGCGCCTCGCGTGACTCTGCCATAAGGCTAACAGTGGGTGATAGGCAACGGCAACGGCGTAAGGCGACGTCTCAGTAACAACACAAAGAGCGGCATAATGAGCGGTATCAAGACCGCGCTTGCTAGATTTAGACGCGCTACCAGATGTAAAGTATGCTTGAAGTAGACTAGTGGACGATATGAAGTCATCAGCGGACAGTGAGGTAACCGCATCGCTGGCGACGACAAAAAAGTTATTGCGACGGTCTTGTCACCTGAAAAACGAAACTCGCCCATACCGCTGCACCTTTTCACACGATCCACAGCCAGCTGGAGACGTCGCTCCATAGATGGTGTTCTCACCGCATTTGTACAAATGGCACAACCGTCAACGAAAGAGCATGCCCGACAAGCTCCGGGAACGCATCACCAACACCGTTCATCATCGCTGTGATCAGCGATACGCTTAGCACGCAACCCTGGGACACACCGTTTACTTGTTGGTGCCTATCAGAGAGAACGTTGCCGACACGGACACGGAAATATCGGTTCGCTAAAAACTCTTCGAGAAAAGTACCCACGCAGCCACGTATGTCACATTTAAAAAGCTTTAGAAAAATGTCATGCCGCGATGTGGTGTCGCAGGCGACTTCAATGTTAAAGAAAACTGCCTCCACATGTCTTTTCTCTATGAAAGCCTTACAAATCGTTATGTCGAGAGCTAAAAGGTGATCTACCGTACTTCAATGTTGTTTTTTTAACGACATTGCGAGTTATTAGAATTATAGTACTCCTCCAGAGGCCAGGTAAGCTGAGCGTTCACAGTTTATAGGATTCAGCTGCATGCTGCCACCGTCATTCGGCTGAAAACCCTGTACCCCACTTATGCTTTGCCGATTTGCAGCGCCTTGGTACCATGATGAAGGCCAAGATACGCATACAGATGAATTTCAAGATCGGCCCGGTTCAGGACATCTTGTACACACAGAGCTTCCCCGACATGTACTACCCCGTTTTCTGGATGGAGGGGGTAAGTGAACCGGCGACTGGCTTCGTCTGTTCTCCGCAAACGATTTCAACGGATAGGCTGTGTGGTGTGCAGGGGTGAGGGTGAGTCGTCAACCCTGTAAAAGCATTTTTGAAGCTAGGTTTCAGAAGACGTTAAAAACGAGGAAAACAATATGAGAAAATAGCCGTGTTTTGCAGGGTCGCGCCAGACGGTTGAAAACTTCTGCGTTTCCATGCAGTGACCGTTCTTAGTGAATGTCGCCAAAAGTAGTTAACATAATTACAAGACGCAACTTTCGAGTAGTACCAGGATATCCTTAAAGCTATCGTGAAACAAATGTTTATAAAGGTACCACAACTGATATACATTTAGGCGCTTTGTGCCGGATTTGAGAAACTCATTGTGCCTTGTGGTTCACTTCGGACTGCAATAATTATACAAATAAGCATATCTGCATCTCTCCTCTATCTTTCCTTCTCTCTCCTCCCCCCTTTCTCTCTTTCTCTCTCTCCCGCCTCTCATCACTCTCTCTCTCTCCTACTATGTTGATATATTACTATCTTCTATGCATCACTTATCACTCTTTGTTAACTTTTCTAGTTAATCCAGTCCTTTGTCCTGAATCCAGTCGCAAGAGCGGGATCGACGTGATATGCAGTGACTTTAATCACATTTCGTTTTCACGAAAATAGGGCGTGCATCACTCACCTTTCCTGATCGCATCCCGCTCATGTTTAAATTCGTTGGTGGGCGATGGATTTTCCAGCTCCTTGATAATTCCATGTGATTTTCCAAAAAGGGAAACCAAAGACTGCTGGGGAAGCGTTTATCAGACCCTCAGACAAACGCTACAATGTGCACAGATTTCTTTGCGATACTAATATTCCCGCGACGCAGCCGGAATGGCGCATAATTGACCATGCGATACCGAGACGAGATCCGTCAGCGTCCAGCCCTCAGATGTTGCAGTTCCAATGACCACTGGGCACGGAGTTTTGTTGTGCGTTCCAGAGGCTCTGGCAAAACCATCACCATCTCTTGACGCCAGCGTCAGATTCCACAAATGGCAGCGTTTTCCTTATGCCTCGCGCCGTGTCATTCTCAGCCCATTTGTTCATTCACAGGCTGTATGTTCATTCGCGGGTCATATGTAAAGGCTATTCTTAATTGAAACTGATCTGATGGCTTGCTGTTTATGACGCTTGATGCTTAACCTCGTAGAGGAAACATGTCATGGTGGCAGTTAAAGTAACTGCTAAAAGAGCGTATGTTTGCTTATGATGTTTCTTTTCACAGTGAGATGGGCAAATAAAGCAGCGCCGGACGTCAAATTGGATGTTGATGTGCTGTCATACACTGATTTCTGCCGTGCCGACTGACAATGCTTGCTCCTGATAGTCACACCTAAGCAATACCCCCCCCCCCCCCTCCCTCCCCCTCCCCTATCGCAGCTTCGCGTCGCCCGACACCCGACTGTCCCATGCTGCAGGGTGTGGACCAGCTGCCAGCGGAGGCCATCAAGAAAGTGCAGAGGATAATGACCATTGTGAAGGAGGCGCGCACCAAAGTGACGCGTGTCACGTTAGTGCTCGGCTCGGCGCTCGCGCTGTACGGCGCTGCGGTGCTGCTGTCGCGCATGCGACAGAAGCGGCGCGCCGAGGCGAGCGCAGCCTCGGCCGCCGGCGGCGCCGCACAGAGTAACGACAAGCCGGAGGAGGTGGTCGAGGTGGCGGCGGCCCACGGCGGGGCGCCGACTAACGGTGCCGCCCCCGAGAAGGGCGTGCCGCAGTCTGTCTGAGGGCGTGCCGTGCTTTCTTCCACAAACCGGGGCTTCGTCGGGGACGACGGCGCGTCCGGCAGCGTTAGCCCGGCCTCGGTAATCTTGTCGCCGACGCTACGGCCAGCGGATGCGGTGTGGCCGCTCAGCTGCCACAAACACGAGATCGCCAAACGCGGCGCGCCTCTGCCGTTCGCCCCGCCCAGTGCCAACGGTCCGCCGGCGCCATGCCCCGGGACGACCGCCGCTGACGTGCCGTGATATTATCCTGTTTTTAATTTCGACAAGATGGGGTGCCTTGAATTCCTATCAGTGTGTACTACTGTCCCATCGAAGTCAGCACGCCCAAATAAGGTCACAATGATGCGCAGCCATGCCGTTGGGTGCAACGGAGTAGAGCATGGACTCTGATATTGTTGGTATAGGTGAGAGAGAGAGAGAGAGCGCACCACTTGGCGAGGGCGGATGGCGGCAGACGAGAGTTGGGTTCGCGGTTCATATCGCGTCCCTCCGCGTTCATATCGCGGAGGGGCGCTGGTGTTTCGTGCTGGACAATATGGCGTCACCCCGCGACGTGGTGGCTGTGTGGCGTGTTCATTGCTGTTGTGGATTTCAGAACGCTTGAAGTGATAGAGGCGCCGCACATTTCTGCCTTCGGGTGCCCCGCCGCCTTATCTCTAGTAACTGCGGCCGATCCATTTCCGTGGAGTTGGCGATGTATTCAGCGATTTATTAAGCGAGGAATGTCGATTTCTCTGAAAACACGCCAGATGGTCAAGTATGCTACGACAGCATCACAAATTGCAATATTTGAATTTTCGTGTACGCGGCCTAAATGCCATCAGCAAACTCAATATTACCCAAAAATTAACAGCCAATATCAAGTTTTCAAGCATCAGGATATTAGCCGCAAAAGGACGAGCGTCCGTCAAACACTCCTGACCTCTAAGGGTCACCTTTCAACGTAAGATTCTAGTTAAAACGATGAGGAACTCCATATCATCAGAGATATACCGGCCGATTTTGCCTTTTCGAGCACCAGAACATTCGCAAACACAAAAAGTAGCCGTCAAAGTCCTGAAAACTCAAGGTCAGCTTTGAAGGCTAAATTCACGGTCAAATGTTGGTAACTCCTTACCATAGAAAAATTACCGGCCGATATCAAGTTTTAAAGTATCAGAATATTTACTACAAGAAGGGATAGCAGCCATAAAAACTCATGAAAGATCAATGTCAACTTTCAAAGTCAAAGTTAGGTTCAAAAGAAGAAGAACTTTATGTCATCAAAAGTTACCGGTCCGATTTCGGATTTTTCAGTACCAGAAAGATTAAAAGCACATCAACTAGCTTCCATTGAAAAGTCATGACTTACCAAGGTCACCTTTGTAGGTAAATGTTAAACTCAAAGGACAGGAATATAATCAAGAGCAATCTACCAGCCGATTTCGACTTTTCAAGAATCAGGATCTTTACAAGCACAAGTCCCTAGCGACGGTTAAAACGTCTGACCTCTCATGGTCGCCTTTTAAGGTCAACTTCAAGCGGGTTCCACGTGGAACTTTAGGTCACGAACAAATAAGCGACCGGTTTCAGCTTTTCAAGCACCAGAATATTCACCAGCGCATGAACTAGTGTCCGTCCAAAAGTCCTCACATCTCAAGGTCGCTTTTTCAAGGCGAATTCGCCTTGAACTACAGGGATCTCGATGTTCCTAGTAGTTCAAGCTGTCGTGAATATTCTGATGCTTGAAAGTGGATATCGGCCGGAAACTTTGATGAGATCAAAACCCCACCTTTTAGCAGGAATTTGACCTTGAAAGGTTCATTTTGAGTTTGTACGCCTATTGGCGGACGCTAGTTCGTTATGTGGTGAATATTCTGATGCTTTATTATCCGAAATCGCTTGTTTGTTTTGGAAATATAGGGTTTCCCTTGTTTGACCTTGTATTTGACTTTAAAGATCGCATGATACCACAAAATAAATGCCATTTTCGATGTTTCCATGCCATAATTGAGCATCTCACACGTTTCCAAAGAAATAAAAACTCGTCCCTGAATAAATCGCTGAGCAAATCGCGACCTAAATACCAAATCGTGATCGGACCCGTCTGATCCCCGTTCCATCTGGTGGCGGTCGCTCAAACTAACAACGTCGGGGTGCCGTACGTGCCATCTCGGATCCCGACCGGGAGACTCGCTCAAACATTTTATTTGGTGTTCGGGGATATGGCTCTATTGGGAGAGCTGGTGTGAACTGCACGTAACTCTCTTCTATCGGTCATGTACAGCCAAAGACACACATTCGTCTCAAGGCATTTCCCGCTAGTTTCTGACCACTTCCACGCATGCTATTATGTTATGTTACCAACCACCAATGTATGTTATGTTAGTGCATATATGTACCACCACATTTATTAGTGCTTCACTCACGTCTGCTAAGGGAACTTAAAATCATTTCCATTTTGCGATTGTTAGCTTAGTTAAGTCGTGCATACATGAGTATAGCCACACCCGAGAAAAGAAAAAAGGGGGATACAACTCGGAACGGAATACACTAAATTGCAGTTTACGAGGACAGACCGACCTGAAAATAGTACTTTGCGAGGTAAAACATAAAAAGCGTGCGCTCTTATAGAAACATGGAGATGGGGAACAAAAACTCACTTTGACTACATTAGTTGAGCATGTTTATCTACCACCCCCCTCTGCTACATGCATCAAATATAATGGTACGGTGGCCTTTGCTAAAATACGTATATTTCAGCAACAAAGGCAACGGTGTTTCTGGGAAGTGTTTGTTCACATTGTCGATATTATATAAAGGCAATCGTACTGTTGCATAATAATGCATTTCACCCGTGCCGACGGCGAATGCGAATAATCACGACTTAAAACGATGAGCTTTGGTGGCCATTTGGAATCCGTCGAATTGAGAACATATTTAATCATTATCCAAGTTCATGATAACAACTAAAATCACAACTTAAGATGTCGTGTTGGCTGAAGAAACAGGAGCATATATGAAGCAACGTGGGCCGTAGTTTTGCAGGAATATACGGCCTCACGTTACGAGTAAAGAGCGACGATTGATGCCAAATGTCATGCCCATGATAAGCTTATATATATATATATATATATATATATATATATATATATATATATGTATATACTTTTAAAAATAGAGATAGATCATAGTTATATCCACCCCGGATTAAAATACATGGAAAGCTCATTGGACAAAGCATCACGTGGTGTCAGACGTGCAGTCGCACGTGCCATTTGTTATGTGCACATCAACAGCCAAGATGAATTTGCCCAGTTTTTAGGCTTTTTCACCTTTTATACTGCGTTTTGGCAGCCAGAATGCGTGAAAGCGCGAATCAAGTTTAAAAGCGTCACCTAACGCACGTACCGTCCGTAATTCATGTAACTAACACGAGTTTGTGCGACGCGCGGTTGCGCATATAATCGTCGGGCAGGCGGGGAATGTCGACATTTCGGAAAACGACGTTGAAAACTACACCCTGCCATCGAAGCTGTGACCGGGATAGTGGCTAAATTTACATCGCCGCGTGCACCAATTCATTGTCTGTATTTGCCACCCATTTATTTGTTACGTGTACGGCCCCGTTTACGCATAAACTTTACCTAAACGGTCGCAATGCTACACTTTGGCGTCGCTAAACTGCCACCAAGTCGCCGGCGGCCAGTATTTCAAGTAAAACTAAGAAACGTGCACGCGCCACATGCTTCCGACGTCCGGCAGCCGTCATTCATTCCTTGATGCATTCATCGCGTCGAGAATGATGGGTGAGAATGATGAGAAATGATGAGGATCAAATGCCTTACCCTAACTCCATGGGTTGAGAAAATGCCAGAGAAACTGTACATATCGAGTCGAGAATAATTTGCAACGGGTAAAATAGCTGAATACACGAAATGCGGTAAGTTTTCAGCGAAGCTCACTGCTATGGTAAAACAGCACTCCTATTGGATTGAAGGGTCGTGCTTTTCAAGTCCCTAAAGAGTACAACACAATATTAAAGCAGCATTAACAAGTGGCATAGGCGAAATCAGGGAGATCTGGCATCTGCAATGGTAACAAGTGTGGTCTTCTTAAAGCTTTTAAAATGCATGGCATTCCAACCGCGGTGGAATGTCTAGAGAGAAACTGAACGTCCCTCGTAGCCAGCACATCACACCCGGTCCCTATCCGGCATCCCGTCAGGCCTCCCAGCAGCCTGGAGTTCGGGTCGGTCATGGAGTCCCATGAATGGTGTTGAATGCATCCCGAAATAACGCAGACACAAATTGTCCATAGACGCTCCAGCGATTGGCGAAGCATGTTCTGAGCCCATGTGAACCATTTGAAACCTATTCGGTGCCCATATGGTTGTGCTGTCTGGGTATGTACATTCAAAACCTGGGCGCACAAACAAGTTGTCCCACTTTGGCGCGGAAAAGTTGTGATTTATCGAACTATGGATCGTGTGTTACAATTTAGTGGCCGAGGGATGACCAACAGATCAAAATAAGCAAACCATTTATATACCCGGTTGGTGACAGACCACTTAGATCACTTTTTCAGATGCACGGAACAGTGCGCATAATAAGCACCTCTAGAAATGGCAATAGTAAAATATGTCTTCACGATATCAAAACTGCGCCTACTCTTTCACAAATGTGATTGGGAAGTGAGGTGACCAAACATATACGGATGTAAAAGTTCCAGATAGACCAGATGACGGTTTCTCCTACCGGGGACGCGATGGCCGGATGCGTGCGTGTCGTGTTTGGCCCCGACTGCGCCATGGCGCCTGAGCACTGATATGGATCCTGCAGTCGCTGGCGCTCCGTAACAGGGCGCATGACAACGTGCGTCATCGTCACGTCCCCCCCCCCCTCGCGCTTTTATGACAGAAAACAGCAGCTGCGTTTTCGGATGAATTTTGTCTTCCAGTGATACATGCTACATGCCGGCGGCACAGCATACCTAATATTCCTACGTTCTTGAATCGGTGGAACTGACCTTTGCATGCATCACTTGGATCGCATGCCTTAGCTTGGGTTTGAAGAATTTTGGTATCTCTTCACGGTGCTCAAAACCGCTGCACAAGATTTCCAGGTTGACGACGCAAAACATTCACATTTTCCAAGGAACTTGCCGCATGTTTCATTGAAAGAAGGCATATCGCGTCAAAAGCCTACGAATTTCAATAGCTTCGCCGCGTCCTGCTGTTCGCATTTCAATATACACATTTCCACCCGACCAAATTTCTGACCAGATTTCTATATCCGCGCGCGCGGTGACAAGTCACTTGAGCGGCAATACGAGGATATTGTTTTGCGTTTACCAGGTGAGAAGCAGGCGTCGCCATTCAGCCTCAAGGCTGCCGTAAAATCCCAATGACAAGGAAGCATTCATTGCAAGGTCAGCAAACTACGAATGCATCTTTCCGCTGGTTCCGTTGTACATAAGTAGACGATGGCTTGACAGTTGAGTCGTTCTGTGCCTGGCTTCATTGGTATTTAACAGCCAATTTTAAGTCGCTTTGCAAAGCCTTCTCCAAAATGTTAAAGAGGGCGTCACACATCTGTATTGGGGTTTGAACTGCAATAGCCATCATGAAATCACTCAGTTCCGTCCACCATCCTGCCCTTCTTAAGATGTAAAGTCCTGTAGTTTCTGAGCTAAACCCCCATGGAAATATGCAGACTATTTCGTGCAACTATTTCAGTCACCCAGACAGCCCTGACAACATCACATCATTCCAACCTGCCATTACATTGGCCATGAGACGATCAAGGTCAAGACGTATCGAGCATTCGTGGGCACGATTTCCAAATCTAACGGCCGTTAATTGGCTATCAATCAATGTTGTGCGAGGTACGACGGCACAATCAAACAGCGACCCATTGAGGAGCATATTTACTGGATTGATAAACTGTGTCGTCTCAAGCAGCCCTTGTCATTCAAAAGTAAGAGGACTTGTGTCGTCCATAGAAGTCTTTTCCGCTTAAAATCATCAATATCCCCATACTGTGGAACATTCATTTGAATGAAAGGATCCATCAGTCTCTGGAAGAAGATAAACGTGCGCCCTGAACATCCGTATCTCCCAATGCAGACAGTGCTTCCAGTCTCATTCTTCGCCGAATAACCGGAAGGAAGACAGAGATGTTTTAATATTTCGGCTACATGCCCTTAGCAAAACCATTATGAGCAAAAGAACTGCATGACCGCAAATATGACTGCTTGAAATCGTTGTGACAAAGGCATAGCGCCAACATGTAAATGCATCTGTATCTTCTTCCTCCTGGTTACTCGACAATGAACAGGCAAAACATACTGTCTCATTGAAATGTAAAATGTTGCTCTCAAATGCATTTCATAAGTAACGTAATTTCTTCACAGTTGTCTAAGATACTGTGTTTACGCCTCAGTTCACCAGCCCAGCATAAGACACTTTGAAACAATTTCAGCAATGGCTTTTTCATATTTTGGGCACATACAAAAATACGGTCCTTGGTTTTCAAAGAATTCCACTGTTCCAACATTCGCGTACAAAACGTTGATTTGTTTCAAAAGAACGAGTATTAGGGTCAGGCCCCACATTGTGGATGAGCGGCCCAATGTTGCGGGACTCCACCCCAACCATGAGGACCCGGATCAACCTTGGGCGGGGAGGGGCCATGCCTTCCCTACCAATAGATACTAAGTTTCACCCCTGGTGCTGGCTCATGCCTTAGCAGACTCACGACGCCTGGACATCGAGATCGGCCTGAATGGTCTACAATACGAGAATGCTTCTGTAGCTGCAAGCATGAAACAAGCGGCAAAGCAAAGCAAGCAAGCAGAGGAAGCAAAGCTAGACTTTCTGGAACGGTGCAGCCCGACCCCAGCCCAAAGCAGCCTCACAGGACCTCCAAACATTCTAGCCCGGCCCGCCGGACACCCAGACCCACATACATGGTAGCTAGTTGTGTACAGCTTCCACGCCCCTGCGCTGACAGCACGGGTCATTCCCAAACTTCCATTACCACTGCTGAAGCTTTCAAAGAAGCGGGGAGGGTGGGCAAGCACAAAAATGTCTGACACAATTTCATTTTCTTCGCAACGTTCTTGCACTCCCTGCGACTCTCATGGATCTCCGTGATGAAGAAGTCCTGACGACGCACCTGGCGCAACTTGGCTAGGACATCGCTCATATCGGTGACACAACCCAGCCTTTTCCTCAACGATGCACATGTTTAGTTGCGGAATCCGGGCAGCCACCTCGTCTGTCGAAGCTTCACCGCTCCGCTGCCAGGAGGCTAGCATGGTCGCTGACATCGAATGCGCCGGCAGGGGGCTTCCGACCCAGTTTTATGTATGTCAGAACTGCCGGTCGTTGAACAACGCTAAAAATACGCGACCAGCCGGCGGCTCCTTCTCATGGTATATGACCCCCGACGACGTGCTACTGAATGTGGGCGGCCTTCGGCATGTGAAGACAGCGTTACAACGGAGGTACAAAACGATAGTCTTCAAAAAAAGACCATGATGTAGCCTTTAGTCGTCGTGTATAACTTCCCGAGCCAGATACAAGTGTAACCAACGCCTAACACTTAAGACAAGGCAAAGCGACACGGTTCGTTTATAACACTTACACAGTGTAGCGTATGGTGCTGAAGACCACCGTACGTTGATCAACTCAAATATGCATGAGAGAAAGAACAGCAGCATTTATTTGTGTCGACCAGCGAACATGGAACCATTCCAAGCCCGCCTGGAAGTTCCTCCAATCATTCCAAACCAGCATCACGCTCACGACACGCCTTGAATTCAAAATCCTGGAACAAGACACGCGTCTTATCATGCGCCACGTTCGATCCGAACACGACTATCACAGTGTACCTGTACACTTGTCACATGACGCCTCGATGCTGGATACGCACAGGCATGGTCCCTCGGCTTCTACATTGCAGGCAGGTTCCGCAGCGCCTTCTCCACGACGGCTTGGCATTTTGTCTCATCTGAAAAAAAAAACGTTTAAAGTGAGCACATCTAGCGGAGGCTGGCGAGAGAATACAGAACGTACCGTGGCTAGTGACGTGGGATCGGAACTGGATTCCCCTGAACCGTCGATCATAGGATAAAGCTATGACATACACACTAGGTCCAAACACTGCACGCTCAAAACGATTTGAGATCTTGTGAAAGTTGTTCTCCGAGAGCCAGACTGGCCAACAAGGATATTTTGCCCCAATTTGGATCCAAGAGGCTGTCTGCCACATGCCCAACGCATCTCGACATCTTCACAACAATTACCCCTTATTGTTGCACTTTGGGAAAGGGCGTGGGCTGAAGATGGTCACCAACGAGCAGTCATTAGCTTGATCAACCCGCTCATTGATCCTGAATACTGATCTGATGTCTCTGAACCGAGTTCAGGCTGGCATGGATTCAATACATGCATCGAGGTGTAAGTCTGTAGGTTACGTTGGTTTATGAATGGCCCGTGAATATGTCAAAAAGGCTACATTGTGCGTTGGTGCCCAAAGTATTGAGGTGGTTGGCCAGCGTTACATCTGATTATATATATATATATATATATATATATATATATATATATATATTAGCATATCTAGTAATACTTATAGTTACAACCTTCCATCCCGGTGTCATGTTCATGAGTCTTTTTCTCGACATAACACGTGTTTTTACTGTGGGCCACCATGTTTGCTATATACTTTTGTGCTTGCAGATGCAGGAAAAGTTATCCCCTTTGGTATATGTGTTCTAAGCTTCTTTATTTTACCATCATCGACCATGGGGCCCCCGACCGAAATTAGTACCTGGCATGTGTATACCCCACCCAGGAATACGCTTGGTCGTTCGCAAATAGACGGCACCGTATAGATGGATTATCTCACCAACAGCGGCATGATTCAGCAGGCACTTGTGCGCCAGCCTCCGAGCCAGTGCCTTGAACTGGCTCTTGGAGGCGATGCGGCCGGCTTTGAAGTGCGGCATCAGCTGCTGCACGCACAGGTCGGCCGCTCGCCGCTTCTCTTCCGACGAGTGATGGTGACCTGAGGACGGCCGAGGAGAGCGCGCCGCCCGAGCACCGGACGGCCGCCGGTGACCAGGCGAGGCGCACGGCGCTCTGGCTCGCTTTGTGTCCACCGGCCGCGCCGGCGCCTTCGGGGCCGGGTCATCCTCGTCGCCGAAGAGCTCAGCCATGCTCGGTCTCCTCGGCTCGGGCGGTGGAGGGGAGACCCGGGGCAGACTGGTGGCGACGGTCGGCTCGCCGCACTGCACGGTCGCCGCCTGTTCCAGAGTGACGGGCGCGGCCAGGGGCGTCACGGACGCCGCCGCCGTCGGCCGCTCGTCGTCCGAGTCGGCGATCACCAGCGGCTCGTCCTCGCCCGACGACTCGACCTGTATCGGGGGCTCCTCGTCTGACTCAGGCACGACGTCGGCGCGCTCGGCCGTCCCCACGTCCGCGGCCGGCGCCGCAGCAAAAAAGCTGGTGATGGTCTTCTGAGTGTCGGTGCCTCGCTTCAGTCGGAATCCACCGGCAGCCTTCTTCTCGCGGGGAGGTGTGCGACTGTGCCGGGATGCACGGGAATCTGATATCAACTTTTGGGCGTCACTCGACTGGCTATTCACGTGTGCTCCGCTGGCGGAGGCGCCGCTCGCAGCCGGCGCTGGGTCCGCTGCCCCAGACGTACTGACACGGCGCTCTTGGAGCGCAGACCTCGCGGAGCTGAACAACGCGACCTTTGTTTCCGGCCCCGTACCACTGTCCTCACTTTTCGACACGTCCGCCTTCAGGGCTTCGGTGGCGGCCGTACTAAGGCCGCGCTTCTCCTCGGCTGCCTCCGCCTGCGCGCCGCCGCTCGCAACGCCCCCCTGCTCCCCGAGTGCGGCGCTTCCGTCCGTGCCGAGCGGGGGGCGCTTGCTGGCGCCGTCCACCGGCAGTGACCCGCCGCTCCGTGCCAGCAGCTGAGCGGCTGTCTGGAACGGGTCGGCCGGCCGGCGGTCCGGCGGTGCGGCCGGCGCCGGCGGCGGGGAGGCCAGGGACTCGTGCAGCTCGCACAGGCTCGTCTTCTTCCTCACAGCACTGGTCTGGGGGCACGGGGCGGCACAGCGTCTCGGTCCGCCGTCAGTATGGCCAGGAGCCCTGGCAGGCGACGATACAGACAGCCCAAAAATGGCACTGACTTTGAGGCTCCGCCAGCTGTCATCGCCAAACACTGGCTGGAGCCACCTAACCCATAATAACGCATCTGCAGTCATTGCCATAGCCGAGCAACGGTTTTATAAAACGTTCAAGCCCCGACGAACGGAATGGGCTCTCACAGCGATGTGCGCCGAATGGATGGCGTACTCATACGTGCTCCAGTGTCACAATTATTAATCATTCACGTATTGTTCATCCCCGGCAGTAACGACGTTGCCTACACAGGATGTCATGACACTCACCAAAAAGGCCATGCCACGCCGGTACATGGTCACCACCCGGTTGGAGGTGAAGAGCGAGTACTCGAGCTGAACCGCCGCCTCAGTGACCTGGTCCTGGGTCAGGGTCGGCAAGACCACGCACGTGTTCAGGTTCCTCCATAGAGCATCCACCAGCAGACCGAGATATTCCTCCCGGGTCTGGAACGTCATGCGGTCACATATGTGGCTCGCTGGCACACGCGCGCCAAGGAACGAACTGATTCCAGATCATTCACGTAACAATTGACGATCCGACCATGACCACTGCTTAGATTCCTTGCCGTATGGCATGGAATCAGACAAACCAGACCAGGGTGCATTTATGAGACATGTGACAAACTGTCCATTCACAAAGTTCAGCAAATACGCAGGCATAATACGCAGAGGACTAGCTTGGCCCCAGCAACACGTATCTTACTGTGACTATGACTATGACTGCTGCTCGCGTGGCAGTAGGGGTAGGGGTGTGGGGGGGGGGGGGGTCCACAGAAGCCATCTGCCGCCTCCCATACGTGCGCCGGTCGGCACCTTCAGTGTAAGGCCGGCAATCTTCTTCTCCGTGCAGTCGGCGGCGCGCAGCCGGGTCGTCTGCAGCGCCTCTTCTTGACGGCGCTTCTCCTCGCGTTCCTGCTTGTCTGTCAGCTGCGGCGGAGGTGCCGTGCCGCGACGAAGCTTCAGCTGTCGCCTGACGATGCTCTCCAGGCCGGAGCGCTCGTCCTGCTTCCGCTCGCCCGTCTCCTCGTACATATCCAGCTCCCTGGCAGGGAGCCACTGTCAGACCGACGGCAGCCTGAGAAGCGTGTGATCTCGGGGACTCGTCGCCCGCCAGCCCAGTAACGGTGTGCGTGTGTCCCTGTGGGCTCCTAACATCCTGGCTCATTCTCAACCCGTTGCAATGCGTGTCTCCACCATCCTGACGATGTATGTACATGGGTTCCGTCGGATTTGTAGCATTCTGGATAAGCGAACATTTATCTGCGGTTAGAACCCACAAGGCTTCGCTTTTACAGCTCATCCGCGTACCATCTCGCGCTGAACAGTACACCCACGCATCCTAGTAAAGAACAAGCAGCGTCGTCCCCGACACTACGCCCCTAAACACGTCACATCCCTTGTCATCTAAACACGTCTCCGTCAAACCCAAGCAGTAGTCAGACTCTAAAATGTCTCGCGTGAACAGACATGTGGTCGGCACATCATCGTGTAGTGCAGCTTTGGTTCTATGTCAAACACATACAAGGGGGGACCACGCCGTGAGGTCTTCAGCCGCAAATGGCCTCAATACAACTGCTTTAAGTGTGCAGCGATTGTGCCCAATTTCTGTGGAACTATAGTTGAAAAGTGACATTTCTTAGCGCGCCGCCTAGAGGTTATTTTAGGCATGTGAGATCACTAAGTTAAATACGGGGTGGAAGTAGTGCGGTGGTTAAGCTGCGAATCTCGGAAACCAGAGATGCAGGTTCGATTTCCCGCGGTGCCCACTCTTCCTGACAGAGTAAGAGGCAGGCGAAGCCATATAGCCCCAGCAACTGAGTGCGTCACTGAGTGCACGAAAACCCTGACACAATCTAAGAACAACCCTGACACAATCTAAGTTCGACACCATGAAAGCTGGCAGCTCTCGCTGCAGCTCAGAAGCCGACCTTTTTCTGCCCCGTCGTCCCCCCTCGTACTGATCTGGGTCATCGCCAGTGATCGTCATCGCCTTGGTCCTGTAGTCCTGCTTGCGGGCTACGTCCTGTGGACGACGGTGAGTCAGTGAACAGCAGGCCGACAGTCAGTACACAACACCAGCAGCGCGGTAATGTGTTCACGGTAGAGGCTGGTTTAACTTTGGTGACCATATTCACAGAGTACGATACGGGAAAGAAAGCAGGGCACGCACAACGCATAACTAGATGGCTCAATGCTATCAAGTATGTTTCTGAACCCTTTCAAACAAACGTCAAGAACGCACACCTCTTGTGTGTTGCTTTGTCTCCATACTTCGGAGGTTTGAATACAAGTGTGCATTGAGACAAGTATGAGCAGGTGGATTAGAATCATGTGTGAGGCATACTGTTTCATTTAATAAGTCTTTATCGCATTTTTCGGACTTGTGCCTTAGATGCACTGCACCCAGAACCGTACGTCTGCCGCGCTTTGAAATTGGGACGTGGTCCAGTCTTCGGTTTTCGATGCTTGACTCGTCTCCTTAAAAGGAGTGCTCTACATTTGTATGGGGTTTCGAACTGAAACAGCCCTCTTAAAGATTATTTGATATAATTCCCTGCCCTCCTCTCATTAAGACCTGAAACCCTATGGTTTTTGACCTTTACACCCACGAAGATGTGCAGACTTTTTCATGCAGACAATTTCAAGATCATCCAAGCATCCGTGACGCCATAATGCTATCCAAATTTTGTCATTCCATTGGTCATACGCCACGTTCAAGGTCAACAAAATATAATTGTCGAGTCATTCATATCTGGCGTTCGTGAATACGATTTGCAGATATGCCGGCCGTCAACTGGCTTCCAATCAATGATGCGCAAGCTACGCAAGTTTCTAACACGCATTACGTCGCGTGCTACATGACACTAGTAATTATACAATCTTCCTTGCTATTATGTAAATAACACGATCGAATAACGTAAAAATAAAGCTATATCCGAGCATGTAAATACAAGAAAACATCTTAAACTCACGGGCAAATGTATCAAGAACATCACGAGAAAGGGCCGAAGACCTGTATAGTACTCCATTCATAGCCCTGCTAGTGTTCAACGCCGACGACCCGTATATCCTAGTGTTCGGCGGAAAAGATGACGTAGGTGCCCCGAGGCCCGGGGCACCCCCGACTCCACAGACGGCACGTATGCGTGTCCGGGCGTTGTTTAACTCAGTTGATGGTGTAATTTCGCAGCGGTCAGAACTTTCGAGTTATTCCCACAGCTGGGACGACCATCTGTGAAACCGTCGGCCCCCAACCCTACCGCACGGAATCCGGGGGTCATACCCAGCCTCTGCTGCTCTTGGTAATCGCACACCGCTCAGCTCTCTCAAAATTGGCTCGGGCCTCTCATCGAACTGACCGAAAATTTGGGAGCGATTACACGAAATGCTGGAGAGATATCCTCAAAAAACGCTGGTCGGGGGCATCGACGCCCCCCTTCCCTCATCACGGCGAGGGATAAAGAGCTGAAAATTGCACTTTGAGGCGAGTGTGGCCCAGTGCGTTACCTCGCCTTATTTCGTGTCCTATTTTCCACAGTTTACCGGAACAATTTTGCTCGTGTTGTGTTCATGAAATGTGGGTCACTTCTCTCGTTATGCCTGCCAGGCAGGGTGTGTTGCACACCATTGCATAGCATACTATTTAACATTCCACGACCCGTGGCAGATAACAGCCATGCTGTAGTCGAATTCCATAGAGAAATGCAGAATCTAAGTTCGATCATAACAACACAAGACGGCTCTGCTCCGCCGACGTTCTGTTCGTTCAGGATATTTTTCGTCCATGACATCATCACGTACCCTGAAGTAGCCTCCGATCAGTTTCTCCACCAGTTTCGGGTGTCGGCAGACGTCGCACTGCCTGCCGCAGTCCGGAGGGTCGTCCCCGAAGTGGCGCGTGAACACGGCGTGACGACACCTGACAGCGGGCAGCACGGCACGGCGCTAGCTCAGGCCAGCCGCCAGGCGTACCCGACCAGTGGCATGGGCCAGAGATGCAACAGCATAGGTGATGATTCTCGATCCCTGATGCGACGTGCCAAGTGAGCTCATTGCATTGGGCATTCAGGAACAACTTGCCGTAGGTCGCAACTGATTGAGTGGATGTCATGAAGTCGCAACAAGTGACGCCGCACCCGTGAGGATACGTGGCACTAACCACGTGCAATATAACTCAAACGCACCTGGCTTCTTCACAGTACCGAACCATGATCTCGAAGCTCTTCATATCTTCTTGAGTTAGATCCTTCTTGTTGGCCTTCTTATTATGGGCCGTTCCCCTCTTTAAAAGAAAGGCCACCGTTTCCCTTTCCTGTAAAAACAAGTCCACACCTCCATTGCCTGTGCAGCGTACAGGCCTTCATAATCACGAACAATGTGGTAACGAGCAGGCGCAACCAAACGGCCGAGCACTAGGTCATTAGAAAGGACTAATGGTCACGCATGGCGGTGCACAACTCCATTCACACATAAGACGCGGCACTCTTTAAAGCTGCGTGCCCCACTGTTATCCGCAAACACGTCCTAAAAATCGCCAACGTCGCGATAACTACATAAATCATTGGCTCATACGAGTTTGTGTCAATAGACGGTGGCACAAAACGATTTTTATTTTCGTTTTCTTTTTTGTTTCGCTTCACTTTCGAGACAAAACTTCCGACACCAGTGCCACTGGCTATGAACAAATTGCAAGGAACTTCATTGCCATAATAAAAGAGAGTTTGCCAGCTTTAAATCTGACAGTACCAACACAACTAGGCACAGCATTATGCAGTGAGATCCTATTGTTGCAATATACCAACTATTTCTTTCCAACAATGAATGAAAGCTGAATCATGACAGCAATGACGGCTTGGATATTCGAAATAACATAAACAAAATTATACAGCATGGCTTCGCAAACAGCCTAGGCTCGAGCACAGCCTGAGCTGCCACTGCAATGGTTTCTCGTCCGTTGTGCACCTCAAGCAGACACGCGACATTATCGGCCGGTGCCATCATCAGCCATCACCAGCCGGTGCCATCATCAGCCACCATCAGCCATCATCAGCCGGTGCCACCATCAGCCATCATCAGCCTCCCGCCGGCGATTCGTTACCCGTTTAGAATAGTAGATACGACAGAAGGCGGGCCGGCCGTCGCGGCCTGCGCGGCCCGACTCCTGGTAATACCCGGCCACCGACTGTGGCATGCTCCAGTGGGCCACGAACCTGCCGGCACCCCACACAGAGCTCAGCCGCCCGCGCGCTGACACCACAAACACACCTTGTCAACGGGCCGCGGGGAGCCAGAACGGGGTGGCGGCCTGCCGCTCCACACTTGGGTCCTACAAAGCTTCAGTGGAACGGCGTGGACCCTGGTTGGTTCAGGTTTTGAGAGGGTGGAGGCGGGTGATGCGCAGAGAACTGACAAACTTACCGGTAACCAAACGGAGTGCCTAGGGATCCCTAGCCGGTCTACTTTTGTTCAACTCAACCACAAACGACTGGCCGAGTCATCTGTCACACGGACGCTTTGTCTGATTTGTGCAAACGGCACCCAGCTCCTGGACCATACTCCCTCCAAAAGTCACAACGAGAGGCGACACACTAAACGAAAGCCCAAAGAATCTTTTTGAGAACGTTTGGTGCAAAGTGATCACTGATACAGCAATGTCTTTCAAAACAAGTGTCGTCTGGCAATGTCAATTTGCGAGTTTTAGGCTCGGTTTAGCGTAATTATTTATATCATATTATCTACATTTCCTATTTTCATTAAACGTGGTTCAAACCGAACAAAAAGTAAGAATCATGCATCCATTTCAAAACAGACAAAAGTCATTGATGCAATCCTTGGCAGGTCACTTCCCGCGGCAAACAATCTGCATATGAAACAAGAAGACCTTACCACTATTGCTGCTTACTTCAAATATCCTCAGCAAAAGCACGCTTACAACAGTTCAAGTCGTGAATGGGGGGTCAGGCATGAATAGTTTCATTCTTGACAATTGACGACAAATATAACCAGCCCCTGGATTTTATAGGTAGCAGATCTTTCACTGATTTTAGCACAGTGTATAGCAACCTAGGGTCTCTGTACGTAATACCCCCTAGTTCCTCACTGAGACTTGACAAACTTTATATCACGACCAACGAACTGTGCTCGCTGCTGTTTAGAAATTACAATCACAAATTTTCCAAACATTTGATTTGCACAAGGCTTTATGGCAAATACTACACACTGTTAACTTTCAACACTCCGAAATTATCTGGTAATTTGTCTGGGGCGTGACGTGCTTCCTCATGTTACGATATTAGTTTAACCATACGGGTCAGTGACACGCCACTGTTAGAAACAATCGGCTCACGACTCAGCTAATGAAGTTCACAAAGAATGTGATTCAGCTCATGGCTCAAAGCGGCATTTTTCCTACCGAGCCGACTCAGCTCGCGGCTCATCCCAAAACGATTGGTTCGTGAGTCAATTCATGATTCAGCTCGAGTCGAACGCGAGCCAGATGTGAACAGATGATTCAGTAATGCAACAAATTAACCATCAAAATGCAACCGGGGCACGAATCCACCTTAACCTAAAAAGCTATATGGGCGGAACAAAATACCGCTAATAGGTACTTAAGTGACAACTGCTACTAAACTAGGCCTAAACTAACAACTAAGACTCCAGCCACCGGGAGGTTGGCACCTTACCTGACGGTGGCCTTGTCGACGCCCATGCCGAAGCTGACGGTGGCCGTGATGACGGGCATCTTGCCGTCCATCCAGCGCTCCTGCACCTCAGCCCTATCTCTATCCTTGAGACCTGACGCGGTGGGAGCGTGGGTTATTGACCTGGCGCGGTGGGAGCGTGGGCTATTGACCTGGCGCGGTCGGAGCGTGGACTGCTGACCTGGCGCGGTAGGAGCATAGGCTATTGACCTGGCGCGGTGGAGCGTGGGTCATTGACCTGGCACGGTCGGAGCGTGGGTTATGGACAGGGTCCACCAAAGACGAGCTGGCGATCACAATCTGCCACCGGGCCCCACACCAACCGCGCGTCCATAACCGGGAGTGTACGGATGTGAGAGGGGGGGGGGGGGGGGGGGGGGTCGAGAGGCTGCATTTTCCTGTTAGGGCACTAAAGCAACAATACAGCACACATCATGGAAAACAGCGGTGACAGAAAGACGACAACGTCCCGGTACAATCATTGGTTCATCCTCACGTGGAAGAGTACTGGCAAGTGCTAGCGGTAAATAACAAGCGGTATGTCAGGAACATAGAATGCAGAGGCATCACGTAGCACATATATTTACTGTTCTGCACATTGGTCCCGTCAACGTCTCCCACGCTTGCCACTAACCTTGCGATTCGACGTTTTGAATTATACCGACGAGAGCGAAGAGTTAAGTATAATAATGGGACCAGAGTGCAGTGTTCAGCTGTAGTAATGGGACGAGAGAGCGGTGTGTTCAGCCGTAGTAATGGAACGAGACAGCGGTGTTCAGTTGTAGTAATGGGACGAGAGAGCAGAGTTCAGTCATGGTAATGGGACGAGAGAGCGGAGTGTTCAGCCGTAGTAATGGGACGAGGGCGCGGAGTGTTCAGTCGTAGTAATGGGATGAGAGCGTGGAGTGTTCAGCCGTAGTAATCGGACGAGGGCGCGGAGTGTTCAGCCGTAGCAATGGGACGAGAGAGCGGAGTGCTCAGCCGTAGCCATGGGACGAGAGAGCGGAGTGTTCAGTCGTGGTAATGGGACGACGGAGCGGTCCAGCCGTGTGTCCAGCCGTGGTAGTGGGACGAGAGAGCGGAGCGTTCAGTCGGAGTAAAGTGACCAGAGAGCGGAGTCGCAGTAATGAGATCAGACTGGCGATCTTCGGTACGCACCGGCATGGTACGCCCTCGCCGGCACACCTTTCCTGGTCAGCTGGCCGGCCAGCTCTTCCGTGCCCTCTCGAGTTCGGCAGTAGACGATGCCACACGGGCCATTTTTCTGAAGGTCACATGCAAACAGTCACACGATTCATTCCTGGCCCAGAGATGCTGTTCAGGTAATACCCATACCCACCATGACAGGTCTGCTACAGAGCGCCACAGCAACTTGTCCTCCACCCCTCTCAACCGGGTCCCAGGCATTCTACTCACCCTTCACCCCTCCCACCCGAGTCCCAGGCGCTCTACTCACCCTCCACCACTGCTACCCAAGTCCTAGGCACTCTAATCGCCCTTAAAACTCCCGCCCCGGTCCCGGACACTCTAATTACCCTGCACTCCTTCTAACCGGGTCCCATGCACTCCACTTACACGCTGCTCCTCCCAGCCGGGTCCCATGCACTCAATGATCCAGTCCTTCAAGTCTTCGTACTCGTCGTCGAGCGACTCCTTAAAGCGGATGTCGTAAAACAGATTGGAGCGGAAGCAGGAGGCACGGAAACTCAGTGGCTTCTTCAGGGACAGCTGCTTGAAAATGTCTTCCATTACCTACGACAAACAGGAAAGGCCGGTAACGAAATGTGCGAAAAACGCTTGGCATCGCATTCAAAGGGGCTGCGCCACACCTATATGGGATTTTGAACCGAATAAGCCACCTTGAAGAGCTTTCGATGCTGTTCACAATCCTGCCCTTCTGACTACTTCCAGGCCACCTAGGTATTCATGACGCCATACTGACGTCATTCAAGTCCTGTCATTCCATTAGACATTCCATAGATCAAGGCCAAAACAGATCATTGTCGAGGCGTGCATGTCTGGCATTCGTGAGCGGCGCGGTTTCCAGATATAACGGCCGTCAATTCACTCTCAAGCAATGTCGCGCAAGGTACGATGACGTAATCAAACCACGGCGCATTGACGAGCATATTTACTACGCAGAGGATTATGCCCTCTTGCGCAGCCTTTTCCACTTAAAAAGCACATCAACATTTACAAGTGAGTTTGTTTCATCACATGATACTTGCTTCAATATCTTAAAATAAGAAACATTCCCTCGAACAGGGCTTTCACGAAAATGTATACGACCACTGGGATGTAAAGCATACACGTGACTTTTCTGTAACCGTCTGGATGTTTACTACCCTGCAGCCATGTCACCGGAACACAACCGGTGAAACATCCCAGTCCAGACAGCAGTCAAGTCGTCACAGTCCGGCGCCGCCGCCCGATCCACCCGGTGAGCATCGACGCGGCGGACGGCCACACTCACTTTGGTGGAGGCGGTGGCGGTGAGAGCGAGCCAGGGCGTTTGGCGGTAGGAGGCGCGCAGGCCGCCCAGCTTTAGATAGGTCGGTCGGAAGTCGTGTCCCCACTGGCTGACACAGTGCGCCTCGTCCACCACGAAGTAGGCCACCTTGTTGAACCGGACCAGGCGGTCGAGCAGGCCCTGCCGACGCGGTGTGCGGCGGCTCCAGTGGCACGTTCGGCACACTCACCGGTCATGGCAGCTCGCGCACTGCCAGGGAACCGTGCGTGAAACATTCCGTGAGATCGGTGTCACTCGGCACTGGACTGTCCGGCGGGTGTTGAAAGTGGGCTATCAACAAAACGCACGTCCAGGCAAGCCACCCACGTCCAAAACATTACGGCCAGACATGACAAAATCCAGCCCGTTGCGTCTTTCTAACATCTCCGCCAGCGCGGATGTTGCTGACACCGGCACATCTGACACCGACGTCACACCGTCACGCCTGGCTTTGACGGGCCGAGGGGAGGAGCGGAGAGCGTGCCACATCGTCACACCTGACACTGACGTCACACCGTCACACATGGCACTGACGGACCGACGGGAGGAGCGGAGAGCGTGCGGGACGCTACCTTGAAGCCAGCCGTGTCGGCCTGCTCGGGAGTGATGTACAGCAGCCGCGTGGCCGGCACCACGGCCTGCAAGTCCGCCCACACCCGCTGACGCTCCGACGAGGCCATCTTGGAGTTGATCGACTCTGCCCGCACCTTGAGACGCTCCAGGTGCTCGATTTGGTCCTGGTCAAAGGTCTCCTTTCAAGAGACTGGCTGGCATAGTGTGCTACATGCTGTCGAGTATGTTGCAGGGTGTCCTTGTCACTTGAACACTGTACAATTAACAAGGCAGGCACTTCTCAACTGTCAAGATTCTGTTTCAGTACAGCCTGCTGACTGGATCTGAGAATATGTTGTGCTTACAAAAAGGAGGAGAGTTGATAGTCAGGTGCACTTTAATGACTGCCATCAGTCAAAGGTGCATCTAGTTAACATGCAAACATGCTGGCATCCCTAGCATATGTGAGGTACTGGAATTTGTCAGGCTGCAGCATCTCAACGTTTGTCTTGGTTACTTCCCCAATGTAGCCTTCCTTGTGGCACTTACTTTGATGAGGGCGATCAGAGGGGAAACAACAATGGTGATCTTGCCCTCGGCCATTACTGCTGGCAGCTGGTAGCAGAGCGACTTGCCCGACCCGGTTGGCATGGAGACATACACATCTTTCTTTCCTGTTAAGGAGAGATATGTGATTACATACCACAGATTTTACCATGAATATGATATCACATGTGGTCATGATTTCATGATCCCTTACATCGCTGCATAACAGTTGAGCTAATCATTGAGCTTATGCAATCAGCACTTGCAAAATCACTTCATTGACCTGATTACCAATATTATTCTCGACGTCAGGAAAATAATTTGAATTTCAAAACACATAGTTATCATTATACTTAAACCAAGCAGAGGGCACAGAAGATGCATGAAAGATATATAATCAAAGCTTTCCACTGCTTTAGCAGAAAGTTACTTTCTCCTTTTCACTATGTGTTTGTGTATAAAAGTGTGACGGAAAGTGGTTTTGCATACCTTCAATCGCTGCCAAGATAGCATCTCGCTGCAATGGGCTCTTGAAATCTGAGTGTTTGAAGACTGCTTGCAAACATGCTCGAGCTCGATCAGCTTTGCTATCAGCATCTGAAGGCCTTGAAGCATCCATCGTCCCACACTGGAAATATGGAACGGGCAAGACCGTTGACAATAGATCGCAATTCCTACCAAACAAAACCTCGACGCCCGGTGTTGCAGTATCCACACGCTGCATGGTTTCGGCCCCGCGGTTAGACTAGGCGGTGGTAAACGGGCGGACGAAAATCTGGAGTTGGAACTGGAAGAGCGAAGGCAAAATCTCTACATTTCGTGTTGCGCTAACTGTTAATCCGTACAGAAGACAACTTCAAACCGTAAAAAAAATAAAAAAAGGAGGTACGACTGAGGCTAATCATTGGACAATACGGGGGATATTAACGCTCCCGGTCAAGGGCTAAGGCATCATTACGTCCCAGCGCGGGGTGCCTTCAGGCTGTCATTCTGGCGGCACGGGGCGGGTGCTCTGGTCGATCCAGAGGCCCTTGGGATACCTTACATCATATACGTCTCCTCACGGACGCGAGAGGCCTTCCGACCCGTGCAGTTGGCCCCGGATTGACGCATGAACCCTCATTGACGAAAGAATATCCCTGATCGCCGCATATGGTCCAACTGTCACATAGACTCCAGTTCGGCTCAGCACGCGCCTGAGTGGCCGGTTGGATACCCTTCGCTCGAGTGGGGGGGGGGGGGGGGGGGAAATTTGACCCCCCCCCTGAGACCTCAGGAACTAAGAGAGTTGAGACACCAAGTTCACAGGGTGTATTGACATGTACATGAACTCAGTTAGGTCAAAGTTTGAAGTACCACAGTCATGACCTTTGGGTCACATAAGGTCAATCAAGGTCAAATTCCTAGTTGGTGGCTAAAGGGCCCCTGGAACCTAGAAAACCATTCTAAGTAAAAGGCTGCATGCTCATCTAAGGTCAGTCACCTCATTTGACCTTTGAAAAGCCATGGTGACCAAAATCATAAAAAATACCTCGGCCAGGGACCTTGAATATGACCTCCTGTCGGCTGTTCTGGACCTTTGCACACTCAAATCAGGCCCATGGTCTGTCTTCAAAGGCCAAAAGGGCCCCTCAGTAACTAAGGGGGGGGGGGGAGGACATGTGCTATCTGTCCTCCCCATGTGTGTGCCACTGCTCTGCTGGAGAAGACACAAACAGAAGCATGGCAAAGGCAGTTCCAAGGCTTAAAGAAGACAAGCTCCCATACTGAAATGCATTATGGGCTACCAAAACAGATTCACAAGGGATACTTCTCAGTCTCTAAGTGCAAATCTTTGCACTTCAGACAATTCATGTACCAAACAGTTGCTATATAGGATGACAAAGGTCAGTGTTTATCACAGGATCCTCTCTCAAGGACCAGCCTTTGAAAAAGGCAGTGCTGAAGCATGAAACCATAGCATCATACATATTTGGCATGCCTGCTAATTCATTTAGTCAATCATTTTTCTCCTGTTTTCATGTCACATCCAAGCTCAGCTCTTCTCAAGTCACACATTTAACTGTGCATTAATGAACATCTCAGATGTATATATGTACATACCACAAATAATATACACACATATATACATATACACATTTGATTATAAGCTGTCTTTGACAGGACATGGCCAAGGTAAGGCCTATGGCCTGCAACTGATGGCAATGGCAGCGGTGATGCTAAACGCCTTATGACATCAGAGCGCAGGACAGTCCATGCTGAGCATTGCAGCAGATTTGACTTTGGCCAATAAATTCTGTTCTTGACCTGGCACTGCACAATTAAATGGTAGGGGTCACAGCTTACATGACCATTGCTAGAGTGAGTTATTGTATTTACAGCATGAATACTGGCAGAGTATGAGATGGTGAATCTGAACAATTGTCACATCCATCACCCTTAAAGGGAATGTTTCACATTTGCATGGGGTTTTTGAACTTAAACAGCCATCTTGAAGATCATTTGGCACAGTCTACGCTTTTTAAGACCTAGAAGTTCTCTAACTATTTCAAGGTTACCCAGGAACCCTTAACATGCCCTAAAAATCTTGCCATTCAACTAGTCCTGCCACAAAAATATGAATTGTGTCATGCAGAGGCACCCATGAGCACAATTTCCAGATGCAGCCGTGAATTACCTCTCAAAAATGCTATGCAATTATGCAAAATTTGCACGTAACGCTGGCGGGTACCATCAGCGTGGGCCTCTCACTCGGTAAAACGGACGGTCCGCATCAGCTAAGTCCAGCACGAAAATCACACAACATTGTTATCAGTGCATGCGCCAGGCATTGATAAATTCCTATAACACCTTCATACAGCTCCACATCCTATATAACGTACATTAATTGCGCTTTCCCTCACGCATGCCGCTCACCCAGTTTCCACAATTTATTCCCGCACTGCAGGCCAAAACATGCTTCAAAGCTACCAACGTATTGCAATTTTTCTGGCGCTACCAGACCCTCCTGCCGTACACATAACTACGCGTGCACACGATTGGTACGCAAAATAAGTACGCATGACGAGCACGAACATGAGATGGGTTATACACCTAGGTCCTGTAGACATTTACATAGAATGGAACGAGACTGGAACGAGCCCGGGCTTCTTAAAATAAATAACCCGAGTTAATTTTGAACAACACTGTCAGTTCTCGGGGCATACGCCACACTTACATGAAAGGATGGTGACACCCAAACAAGGGCGCGGTAACGGGGGGGGGGGGGGGGGGAGGGAGAGAGCAGCGGGGGCAGCTCAGCAACCATGCCCCCCCCAACCTGAAAGCAGCGGGGTGCACGCAACAGTCCATTCTGGCCTGAAAAGGTTTCATTCTGGGCTATTTAGAGTCCCTTCTGACCAAAACAGAGTAGTTCTGAGCGTGATAAAAGCCCATTCTGGCCTGTAGAGGCCCATTTTGATCTGTGGACGGCCCATTATTGACTGTGGCGGGGCTATTCTGGCCTGGAAAAGGCCTATTCTGAACTTTGGATTGGCCTTTCTGGTCTTAAGAAGACCCGTTTTATCCTGTAGCTGGCTCATTATGACATGCAAACCCATTATGACCTCAAGAAAAACCATCATTTACCATCGAGAACTTAACTCTGACTTGTAGAAGGTACATGTTGGGCTCTGCGGACCCACTATTTAATTTCAGAGGCCCCATTTTGACATTTTGGTGTTCCCTCTCCCCTCTCAACTTGAACATAATGCCCGCGCCCCTGCACCCAAAAATCCCCCTTGGCTACACCGCCGACAGTTGCGTGCGTAACGTGATCAACGCGGCACTAGGTACTGCATGACAGGGCTAGGTTGGGGCTGCGGCTGCGTCTGCGGCTGGGCCTGGGCCTGGTGCTGCGACTGGGCCTGGGGCTGGTACTGCGACTGGGCCTGAGCCTGGTAATGCGACTGGGCCTGGGCCTGGTCATACAACTGGGCCTGAGCCTGGGACCGCAGCTGGACCTGGGCCTGGGACTACGGCTTGGTCTGAGACTGCGATTGGGACTGGCTCTGCGGTTTGGTTGGCTAGGAGTCCTCAGTGCGGAACAGGGGAACCTCTGATGGCAAGTGGCTCCGAGTCGACCAGGGCGGTGTCGAGGGGGTCCGAAGAGGCGCTCAAAATACCCATCGAGGCTGACAGACAAAGGCCCGATCGGAGGACTGAAGGGCCCGAAAAGCTGGCTGAAGGTCACATTCAGGGTTGGAGTCCGTAAGGCCGTGACCGCAAATGTCATTCAGATGGACCCTTGCATCGATTGGGATGCTTCGGGACAATGAGGGCCTCCAGTTCGGCCAGAGACCACCGACACCCAGCAGTCAGCTCCGTGTCGGTCTCAGCCCAAGGGGCCCATTTCTGAGGAGAAACAAGGCCGGGTCCGGGATTTGTATAGTTTGGGGTACCTTTAAAAGGAGGGACCATGTGTTGGCCAGGGGCCCGCAGCGCCAAATAGGAGGCCTTCCGCTGTTTGGCGAGCCCCGTCTGATCCCGTCTAGTCTCGCACGGTCCGGGCAGGTCTCTTCCGGGTCCACGCGGTCCCGTATGGTCCCATCCTACCCCGTTCCCTCTTATTTGGTCTGTTTTCTCCCGGTTCCGACTCCGTTCATTCCGTTACTTCAGGTTCTGTCTGGTCCAGTCCGGTTCCGTCGAAGTTTGTGTGATCCCATTCTGTTCCACCCGATTCCTTTCGATCGCTTAAGATGCTGTTCGATCCTGTTTCATTTCGTCCAGTCGTTTTTTCCCCGTCTGGTTTAGTCCGGTCCCATTCGTTCCTGTCCGGCCCGTTCCCGTAACATCTAGTTTTATTCCATTCGGTCCCATCTGGTCCCATCAAGTTCTATCCGGTTTCGCATGGTCCCCTTCTATATGTTCCGTCCCGTTCGGCTCCTTTCAATCCTGTATGGTGCCCTCGGATCCCGTCTGAAACCGTCTGGTTATGCCTGGTCCCGTCTGGTCCCATCTGAGTCCGTGCGGTCCGCCCGGCCTCAGCTTGTTCACCTGGTCTCGTTTTGTCCATCCAGCCTCGTCTGGTTTGGTCTATCCTGTCGGGTCCCGTCCATCCCTATGTGCTGGCCCATCCGGCCTCACTTCAAATTCGTCTAAGAGATCATACAAAATAGGCCATGTACGTATTCCTACAGCATATAACCTCCAGTCATCTTTTACCGGCCAACTGCTAGGGACGGCCACGTGACGGGCAGCGCCCATGTCCCATTATTGGCTTACTGGGCTTAGACGCGCAGACTATCACGAGGTTGGCAGAAGTTTTGTGGCTTTGTGACGTTTTAAAGCAAATATTCCACATCTGAAGATACTGAAGCACGCATCGAATATGACGAAATAAGCTCACTTATTACTATTGGTAAACTTTTAAGTGGAAAAGACTACCTTAGACAGCACCATTTATCTGTTTAGTAAATTTGTCCCTGAATGCGTCATTGCTTGATTGCGTCATCGGATCTTGCAGAACATTGAGAACTAATTGCCGGCCGATATATCTGGAAATCGTCTTCACGAACGCCAGACATGAACGACTCGACAACCATATTTTGCATGGTCTTGATCACCACATGGCTAAAAGCATGATCCATTGACATTAAGTGGAACGGTCAGTCTGGTGCGTGCGCCTGACTATGGCCACCGCCGCTCAGTGACGCCCCTGCCTTGTTGCGTTTTCCCGCGGCGTCCTGCGGGTGAGAGCAGTGAAAGTGTGCGGAGCCGAGGCCTGGTATGTGTTGCATTGTATTTTGGGATTCGACGTAAGCGGCCGGCAGCAGAGCAGCTTTGTTGAAGTGACGCTGTTGTCGGTTGCTGGCGCTGCGCACATTTCAGCGTCCATAGGATCGGCGGGATGTGGCCACTCGCTCCTACCGATCCTGGAAGAGGTGGGAGGATGTCTGTGACCGATCAGCGCACAGATGAAGCTACGCTGCTATACTCTACCGGATCCCACTGTGATCACGTGGCCTTGACCTGATGCAACCTGGCCGTGATGCAAGGTCACCGCTGCGGCCCGCCCGACAGTCCATGGGCGGACTCAGGCTGTGGTCAGCTGAGGTGGCCGCGCCGCCGGTGGTTGTGTCCTGCCGGCGCCGCTACGGAGCCGCCCTCGATCAGCGCTGCGACAGAGCCGCGCTCGATCAGCGTCGCGACGGAGCTGCGCTCGATCAGCGCCGCGACGGAGCCGCGCTCGATCAGAGCCGCGACGGAGCCGCGCTCGATCAACGCCGCGACGGAGCCGCGCTCGATCAGCGCCGCGACGGAGCCGCGCTCGATCAGCGCCGCGACGGAGCCGCCCTCGATCAGCACGACGATGGAGCTGCGTGGCGCACACGTCAAAGAACGAGGGGCTGTCGGGCCGGACAGTGACAACGGCTGCGGCGCTCCCGCACAGAGAGGGACACCGACTGTCGCCCGTTGACCGCCACCCGTGGGCCATCACCGGCTATTCGGGTGCCGCCGCGCTGTGTCGCACCTCGGCCCGATCCTCTCGATGCCGGCCCGTCTGACAGTTGTTCAGACCCTGCAGTCAGCACGTACCTCCCGTACCAGTTCCACCAGACAGCCGCCACCCTGTAGACCGGCCACGCAAATGTCCGGTCGTTAGTCCCACAAATGGACCGTTCTTTTGACCGTGCGTGGCGCTGCCGGGATCGCCCTGTGACCGCGAGCCGTGATGGCGGTGGTGCCATCTTTGTCGAGAACACTTGAACTACAGCGTGTTAACCATCTTCAGTGCCAGTGCAGCATGCGAGTCGTTGTGGGTGTCGCTGAGTGGCGGTGGGCAGCCCTTGGCCACTGTGTTTGCTGTCTATTGTCCTCTGTCTCAGCCGACATCAGGCAGCCTTGACGAGGTGCACGATCAATTACGGGCGGCTGTTCTATCAGGAGACTTTTTTGTCTTGGTGATGATTTTAACACTGACTTAAAGGTTCCACATTTCTATGAGACTTTAGACTGAAATAGCCATTTTGAAGACCTTTCGGTGCTGTCCACAACCCTGCCCTTCTTTGAACAGAAACCCTTCTAGTCTGGCTGCACGCCCGCGAAAGTGAGGAAAGGTATATCGGGAAGAGTATTTCAAAGTCATCTTGGCATTCGTGACGTCATCATAATGCCATTTAAATCCCACCATTCTGTGAACCGTGCGACGATCAAAGCCGAAAAATAATTGTCAAGGCGTTCATCTCTGACGTTCGTGAGCGCCATTTGCAGGTATAACTACTGTCAATTGACTCGCAATCAATGTCGTGCAAGGTACAGTGACCTAGCTGTATCATGACGCATTGAGAGACATATGGACTAAACAGAAAATTGTGCTGCTTAGAGCAGTCTTTTACACTTAATGAATATACCAACAGTTAAAGGTGAGCCTGTTTCATCATATTGCATGCTTGCTTGAATATCTTCAAATGTGAAACATTCACTTTTCTGCGTTCCGACAAGCCATCTGTGCGTCGCTGCATGTCTATTTTTAGCGATCTGAGCATTGTGCAGCTAATCGACGCACCGACCCACCTTGAGCAGACTGCGACGCTCCTGGACCACGTCAATACCAGCATGCTGAAACTGGAGAACACCGTTCTGGTGCCGCCGGGGCCGATTGCAGACCATCTCACCATTTTTTTTGGGGGGGGGGGTGGGGCGTTCAGTTGGCAGTATTTGCGCCTTCTTTCCTTTCGTACTCGACCCCGGCGTTAAGTCTGCTGGGACACGCTCGGTCTGCATTTGCTGCAGGCAGACTGGAACCCGCTGTACCGGGTCGTGGGTGTGACGAGGAAGCTGGAGGATTTCATGTATGCCTGGTCAGGCACAGGAAACACCCTTGGCTTCCCATCCTATTTCGCTGCCAATTTCCTGAAGACGAACCCTACCAAACCATCCTTCTGCCAGTCGACACTCCCCAGGCTGTCAAAAACCTCATCATTCCATCTTAATATCTACAACTGAACATTAACCTCCACGCCGCCCGTGAAGAGAACGAGAATGACCTTCGAGCGCACCCAATCTTGGGAAGAGCACATATCCAAATTAGTCAAAAAGTGCAACTCCATGCTGTTTCGTCTATGCAAAATTCGTCATGATCTCACACCTGAAGCCCGCGAACTCCTAATCTAGGCCCATGTTCTCCCCACATTCTGTACTACCTTTCAGTCTGGCGCGGGGCCGCCGCCTGCTATCGCGGCTGGATGCCAAAAAATCGTAAATTCCGCGGCCGGGTTCGTCTCGGAGGCGCGAGGTAGAGATCACGTTTCACCGGTCGAAAGGTCGCTGCGCCGGCGCGGATTCAGTGGCATTGTTACGTGCCGTGACCACATTGGCGTTTTCTGGGCTCTAAACGGGATGGGTTCGAGTCGCTCTAGGGCGCTCGCTATTTGCCCTTGGCAGGTATGGCCTGCGGTCGGTGGCAGCAGTCGCGCTAAAGGCCAGTTGGCGCCAGAGGGCAGGACCGACCGTGCCGGGCATTGCGGCACGTAAAGCTTTCGACACTAAATTCTGCCGTTGCCTGGAATTGCGCGATCGGATGGTGGGGGTCAGGGCTCACACAACAAGCACTGCTTAGCGTGAACGCTGATCCCAGAAATCCATTCATTCAAAGGGTTCGGACCAAATTTGTAAACAAATGACCCTGGTGCCCCGGTGGCGGTCCGGTCGCTGCTCACCCCGTGGGACCGCTGTGAGTGAGCGTATCGCGAGGTCGGCGGTGGCCGGCTCTATGGAGTTGCCCCCTTACCGGCTGTCCATGTCGCGTGAGGTGTTTTCATATCGTGCGACCTCGTCCTGGAACCAACTGCCGCTAGCAGTCATGACCTCCCAGAGCCGTGTTGCGCTCGTATCTCAACTTGTCCAAAGTAAAGAAGAGGGTTTTGCTGAGCTTTGCAAGTCTTTCTTAAGCTCTTGATGTGTTTTCATCATCTCCGCATCTTTGTTTCTATCGTGCAACTTATAAACCATGGACTCGAATCAAACATTGAGCCATAGATATAAAGCAATTAGTAGCAAGTACATGACAACATGGATGGCAAGATTGAATGGCATTATTACGGCGTCACGGATGTCTGGGTGACTTTGAAATAGTCCCCCCCCCCCGAAAAAGTATGCGCGTCTTTGCGAGCGTGTAGCACAGAAACTAGAGAGTCATAGGTCTTAAGAAGGGAAGGGCTATGATCTGCACCGAGTGATCTCAGGAGGATGGGTATTTCAGTTCAAAACCCCATAAAATGTAAAGCAGTCCCTTTAATGTGTTCTTTTGTCACATGTGCTCTCATATCAGCCGGTTTTATTTTAGTGTAATGCCAGCCAACATAGCCAAGCTCATTAATAGCATTAAAGGACAGTACGGTGCGCGGAACTATTGTTTCTGTGCGTCCAGCGGATGCTTTTGGTATAGATGGCTTTTCACTCACATTTTTCATTTGGTTTTATTTTTAGCGTGTCGTTGATGTATCTATACTTATATCTAATACTTGTGCTACAAGACAGTGAAGTTTCCGGCAACACCATTGTTGTACATCCGGGGCAATGTTCCAGTATATAGTGGATTTTAGTTACGTTGCTACTAACACACGCCCGAGTGGCCGGCTAGATACCCTTCGCTCAGGGGGGGGGGGGGGGGGAAATTTGACATCCCACTGAGAGCTCTGGAACTAAGAAAGCTAGAAACACCATATTTACAAGGTGTGTTGACCCGTACGTGAAATCATTTACATTCGGGTCAAAAAAGGCCAGACAAGATCAACCTCCAGGGTGGTCCCCAAAGTGGCCCCAGAACCTAGATAAGCGTTTCTAAACAAAAGGTCACATGCTCATTTAAGGTCAGTGACCTTTTTTGACCTTTTGAAGGTCAAGGTGACCAAAGTCATGCAAGATTGCTTGGAGTTTTACATTTGACTAAGCGGCAAAGATCATGCTAGACAGTATGTTCCTAAAACAAAATGTTGAACTGGATCATTTTAGGTTAACGACCTTTCTGACCTCTAAGAAGTCCATGGATGACGTATAATGCGGTTTCTGCCGTCAATAAATTCGAAATGAGCACCAGAAACTATTCTATACAGGCAGCCCTAGAGTAACAAGAAGGTTGGTTTTTACCTTGGTGTGACCTTCATACCTGAACTTAGGTCAATGCATTATGCTCATGCAACTATTGTGCTGCCTAAGAAAGCATTTCAGAGATGCATGCCTTCGTCTCACACTCCGTTGTTGCATCAGTTTGAAGGATTCCCTAGAAATTGCCTTTGCTGAAACCATGGCCTGACTTTGACCTGCCATAGATCAGCAACCTTACAAGGTGCATCTAAATTTCTAATACCAAACGCTCCGCTATTCACTCGTCTACAGCTATGCAGAATTTGGCGTGGCTGCGCCGCGCGTTCGGAAACCATTCTGGAAAAACCCTCCGGGGGTCAATTTGACCCTTCCCACTCGAACGCGGGTTAATGTCGGTTTTTATATTTGCTATAGTGTCGCGAGTTAAAGGGAGAAGATTTGGAAGTTTGCGGAGCAATCGCCTTCCGAATCACGTGCATTATAGGCACAAAAGCATATCAATAAAAGGAGCGATCGTATCGTATACTGTGCATGTCATTGTAAATATGTAACAGCATATTAGCGTTTTGAATGTATCTTTCTCGCTTTGATTCCAGTAACAAGAGCCTATTTCGCATCACCTCTGAACAGTTCATTTGTCTCGCTCGAGCTGCCTCCAAGATTCTGAGAAATGCCATACATACAGCTACATGGTTGTATCCTTATTTGTACATAGCAGGTTCCGCTTCACATGTTGCAAGATGAGACTGTCCAGCGAGCACTTGAACCATTCAGCTTCTCTCCTCTACTGGCCAGAAGATATACTAAACAGTGGTCGGTAGTATCGCGTTTGACGCGCTGTGCATCATGTGAAGTCGATGAAATATTTGAGAAAGCTCAAAAATCGAATTAATCGGGCCGTAGGAAATGCAGAATGAGGTTCTAGACACAATTACAGTTTTGTTCTTGCTGTGTACATTTTTGTACAGCATTCAAGATTACCTAAGGTTTTTTGCATTGATGAATGTAAATGATGTCGCTAAGTGGCAAACATTTGTGGACAAAACGTTGTTGCTATCCCTGCTTGTACGCAGCATCACTCAAACGGTGCGGCGATGGTTGCGTTGTGGAGCATGCGTAAGGTGGGTGCGGATGGATATGGATAACTTGAAAGCTGTCACGTGGTATTTATTCCGATTGCTGCATGGCGTACCTCCATAAGTAGAGCAAATACAATGTAACGCATGACTCTTGAATACGTGCTATGGCATTACGGTAATTTGAACACCTTGGAATGACACATTGGAATGGCGTTTGTGCTAACGTATATCATAATCAGATGGGGAGACTTCTCCCGACTTCAAACGAAGCCAAGCCATCGAAGGGTGGATACAATTTTAGAACACACAGCCTGTGACCTATTGAGATGAGCCAGAAGGGTACGATCCCCTGTGTAATTTTAACATATACTGCCTCTGCACCAAAGGGTCTGCACCGAATGATCTTCAAAAAGGCTGTTTCAGCTCAAAACCTCATATACATGTAGAGCACTCCCTTTAAGATACATTGTGGTACCTTTGAAAATCAAAGGCCGAGCTATTTTCATTACTTCTCGTAACAGCATTCCGAGCCAAATAATGTGACGCACAAGGTGGCACTGACATCAACATTTTTACATTTGTGAGGAAGGAATTAAAAGAAAAAAGGAAGTGAGGAAGGAATTAAAAAATAAACTCGCAATTAACTCAGTACATGCGCGGGTGAAAGTCGGATCAGCATTGTAACACACCAGGTTTTTTGCTGGCTTGATCCCTGGTTGGCCGGGACCGGCCGGGTTGCGGGCGGATATTTTGAAAAAAGTTGTGTCTCTAAACGGACCGATCAACATCAGCGCATACTAATTTCAGTATTTGATCAACATAGCAGGCATGGTTGGCTGCTTTTTACATGTAGTGTTCAGGGTTCACGCGCGGCTGAAATGGTTGAGGTTAAAGTGGTTTTGCTTCGTATCACCGGACATGTTTTGGGAACATTTCAAGCTTTGTTTGAGGTGTCTTTGTTGACATTTCCCTCTCGTACAGCTGGGTCAGTCATGGTCAATGGTCGGTCAGGTGCCGTGTTCCCCAGTCTGTTGTGCATTCTCATCAATTGTAATATGAAAGTCCGTGGCCTCGTGACCGACCAGCTTATAAGCCGTAGAAGAGCCCGGCCCGGCCCGCCCCGCCTCCCGCCCGCGAAACGCCTGCGAAAACCGGTCGCGGGGCGGCCGGCCCGACCGTCGGCCGACGCGGCCTGGCCTGCGGCCGGGCGAACGACCGACTCGGGCCGGGTGCGCACCACGTGCAGCGGCAGGCACCAGCTGGCGCGCCGGCCGGCCGGCCGCGCACCGGCCGTGCGCGCGCGGACACCGGCGGGGAGGGCGGCGGCGGTGCATGTAGGCGGGGGTGGCGCCGGCGAGGTGCGTGCAAGGACGATCAGACAGCATGGAGGCGCTGGACCTGGACAAGAACGTGCTGGAGTTCGGCGGCGGTGACATGGGCGACATCTGGGGGCCGTCGGAGGTACTTGACACGGTGAGTGTCGGCGGCGGCCGGGCCATATGGCCGCTGCACGTCCTGCACTGTGGTGCAGTGTTGCAAGCGACTGAAAACGCTGATGTCGCAGAAAAATTGTATGCACTGAACTGTTCTGCACAACGCAGATTGCAAGGCCAGCCTGATCTCTGAAACGTGCTCTGATGCCACCAAAGGTCACTGACCTAGATGAACTGTGCGTCAGGTTTTCAGTGACCTCTCTGGTTGCACAGTGTGGATATGCAATTAACATTCCAAATCGACAGCGTCGCTGGTTTACCTGCGAGTGTTATTAACCCTGAACAAATTGTAGGCCACCGTCTTAAGTTGGCATTTACCTCTTATATTGTACAATAAGCACGGCCAGAAGCACTCAATCCGCATGTTTTTTTTCTGTTTGCATTCTTCCTCAGCCCTGAAGGTGTCATTTCCTCACGTGCGTATGCCTTTTGCCAAGGAAGATTGTTATAAGTCACTGACCTACGTTGACATTCAGACGCAGCGAGCTTGATCAATGGTTGACCCAGGCCAAACACTATTACAGCGGGCCGCACACTGAAGGCTGAACGGGCTGAATGTAACAGTGCCCGGTAGTCACATGCGCTCCCTAACACACCCCAGAGCGGAGTGCGCGTGTGCTGACACTTTCGGTGCCACTCACGGTGGTCTCGCACCGGTTTTGTTTCATCCTCTCAATTGCAAATCCGTGGTTATTCAAGCCCACAGGTGATTCTCCAAGAGGCGTAAAGCGATTCCCCAAATATGCGTTAAGGATATTCGGGTTTTGGAAGCACATTGCGCAATATTAACCTTGCCCTTTGACTAACCACGGCCTGATTACTCTCGGCTGAAAGTGCATAAGCAAATGTCTGCCACACTTATTGTCCTGGCTGCTTCAAGGGTACACCACTGTGCGACCAAGGTGCAAGGTCCAAGTCCACTGCCGGTGGACGTTACAAATGTGCACTCACGTACGTTCAAGGGGCGAAGTTTGTGCCGGCCGACCCAGTGACCGAATGTACGCGTCTCTACGCTGCCCCTCGATCCTTGCTGGTCGCGTGGAGTTCAGGGGGCATCGAGATATGTCGTTTCAGGTGGCATATCACCGATAGACTCTGTTATCTGGTACAGTCGTATTGGCGTCGCGCTTGTCAACGGTCATATGACATTCCTGGCTGGTAGGCGAGCGTAGCTGGCAAACAGTATGCCGCGATCTATTCCAGTGTAGCTAGCAAACAGTATGCTGCGATCTACTCCAGTTTTAGCGAGCAAACAGTATGCCGCGATCTATTCGAGCGCCAGTCGTACCGTGTTCATCACAATCAAGTTAATTGAACATGATCGTGCTCAATCAACCGCTGTGAACGTATTACCAGTTACCAATGGCGGAAGGTCTTTCAGCAGGAGACGAAAATGTCAAATGTCATGTCAACGATTAGGATCGAAAATCGCATGCATTGGGCTTTGTGAAATGCAGAAAGAGGTCCTATATACAATTTCAGTTTGTCTGCCGTATAATTTGTGTGCAGTGGTTGATAATACCCTGCGTTTTATGCGTCATTTAGTGAACAATTTCCTGTTCATGTCAACGCAACGGCCGGCTGAAACGGTGTGGTTACGTGAAGCTGAGGCAAACTGAACGGTCGTGATGAGCTAGCCGGCCGGCGCCGTGGCCGGTGCGCCTCACGCTCCGTCGCTTACAGCGCCTTGTGATTGGTATCACGCCGTATTGTCCGTTACGACTATCGTAATTATCACACCCGCTCGCCACGTCTTTGGCGTTCTTTATCTTTCGCGCCTGGCACGTCCATCGCCTTCACGCCTGGCACGTTCGTCACCTTCACGTCTGGCACGTTCGTCACGTTCATCCACGGCTGTCGTCCGTCACGTATGTCAGACGCTACGGCGTCACGCTGGCCGCATCCGTCACGCTCCAGCGCGTCTGCTGCCGTGCCGTGCGACCGGCGGGCTTCCGGCGGCACGCGCCGCTTTCGGCAGTCGAGCAGCGCCTTCCGTCGGCCGTGTTCCCCGCCCCCCGCCTCTACCTCCCCTCCCCCGCCCGCCCCGCCCCTCCCCTCCCCCAGTCCGCCGCAGCCGTGAGGAGAGCCTGCACGCGCTGGCCGCCGTCGTGACCGGCGCCCCGCCCGTTGACCGGTTTCAGGTCCGCAGCGGCCAGCGGGAGGCATGCGCGATGCGCAGCGGGTCGTGATGTGGCATGCAGGTTTGGCCCGACAACATTCAGTTGCGGCTGAGTCGATGGGTCGTGATGTGGCCTGCAGGTTCAGCCCGATGGCATTCGGGTCGCGGCTGAGTCGATTGCGGCTTCGTCCGTCTGTGGCTGCTCCGTTCGGGAGCTGGTTGTGGCAGCAGCTGTTGCTGATGACCCCTGCGGACCGTCGTGTCTGCTCACTGCCTTGCCAGATGCACCGTGCACTCGGCCGGGCGGCGCTGCAGCGTTGGTAGCGCGCCGGGAGCGCCGCTCTGCCAGCGACAACTGTCGTTACCGCCACGTCATGGAGGGCGTGACGTCACAGAGTGGCGATAGTGGGGCCCCAGAGACCAAAGCGGTGTTTGGTGGTAACAAATCAAGAACGCATCAGCCATTAATTGAAAGATGTGTAGCCTAGTGAAATATTCCCAGCTTTTGAGAATCCTTACGCCTGCCCACATATCAAACAGAGGCTGCAGCAGGCTTACAGTGCGCCCAGTTTACTGAGAAGTGCCAGACAATATTCGGATAGGGTATAAATCGGTGGATATTTGCACACCGGTCAGCAGCAAGGCCCAGCGATCCCTCTTCTGCGTCGGGAAGCGAATCAGTTCCGTCATGTGTCGTATTGGCCATTTGTGTGCGTGCATGTGTGCGTGCATGTGCGTGCATGTGTTCGTGTTCCGTGTTCGTGTTCGTGTTCGTGTTCGTGTTCGTGTTCGTGTTCGTGTTCGTGGGCGTGGACGTGGGCGTGGGTGTGGGTGTGGACGTGGGCGTGGGCGTGGGCGTGGGCGTGGGCGTGGGCGTGGGCGTGGACGTGGCGTGGGCGTGGGCGTGGGCGTGGGCGGTGGCGTGGGCGTGGGCGTGGACGTGGACGTGGACGTGGGCGTGGGCGTTGCAAGTTGATGTGATGCTTACTCACCGAGCTCCGGACCCCTCCCTTGGGACCACCCTGGCTGTATCCCCGGTCACAAGGCCCACATCACCTGGTAAATGTCATGTCACCTGGCAAATACCGTGGAGCGTAAGAAGCACGGTATGCACATTATGCTTCGGTCCACAATGCTTCATGCTCCAGTAATATACAGTATGCATATTTCACTGCCAGTACTGCAACTACCGCAATGCTGTAAATGGAATGCTCCTCATTTCAAGACATTAGACAACACAATTTCTCGGTGTAGTAAGTATGCTCCTCGATATGTCATTGTTTGATTACGTCAACGTACCTTACACAGTATTGGTTAAGAGCTAATTGACCACCGTTTTATCTGGAAATCGTGTTCACGGATGTGAGACATGATCGACTTGACAATTCTATTTGTTTTGCCTTGATTGCCACATGGCTAATGGGATGACAGGATGTGAATGACGTTAGGATGACGTGGATACCTGGGTGTGAAATGGTTGCCCCGAAAAAGTCCGCATATCTTTGCGGGCGTCTAGCTAAAAAACTAGAGGGGCTTAGGTCTTAAGAAGGGTGGCCTATGAATTGCAGTTGGCTATTTCAGTTCAAACCCCAGGCAAATGTGGAGCACTCTCAAGGAATGCAACGCACGTTGTCACGCCCTTTTATGGAAAGCCAACGACTACACTGGCCACATTAGCGCTCCAGGGTCTATGGAGCCACCGGGATTGAAACCCGGGCCTCCACGTGGGAGTCCGACAAGATAACCGCTCGATTATTACGCCCCGCATGCATTGGCAACACCCTGCAGAGAGATATAAAAAAGTTGCAGGAGGACATCTCGAGAGAAAGCATAGGACATGTCATATATCATTACATTTCGTACCTTGAACACGCGACATCGCATATTTGCCTCGTGCTAGAAAGGCACTGCTGTTGGTATTCTGCTAATACCGTGTCAAAGTGGATCTTTTTGGGCGTTTCTGTGTCTCTCTGTCCCACAATTGATTTCGAAATTATAACTACTGAAAGGGTGTTGGATCACGTGTTACTGCGTCTTTAATGCGCCTTATCTGGACGGGTGGCAGAGACAACACCCTGAAAGAACCATCAAGGCAGCTTTGCGCGAATACCATTAGCTCACATCTTATGAGGCTGCGTGATAGTTTCGACTCTTTCCGAACCCAGTGCAAAGCCGCCCATAGACATAGTTGCATTTGGGGGAGGGGAGGGGGCGGCAGCCACAAGACTGGGTCAGCTGGGGCGTAATCGGATCATCACACCTTGCGACCGCTCGGTCACCGGCCCCCGGTGCCGGAGAACCGGACCGGACCGGTGGGCGGTGCCGACCCCGGCACACCCAGCCCCATGACCCTTGCCCAACATCCCCGCCTCCTCTTCCACCCCGTGCACTGCCGTCCGCACAGACAGCGCCTGTGGATGGCTGCAGCAGCAGGTCTCTTGAGATAACCGTGGGTGGCTATCCTCTGCACTCCTGCAGCGATGACGAGAGATGATATCACTTGCTGTCCGGCGTCACAGCTGGTTACACGGGCAATGACGATTACCTCAGCAAGTCCTGGCGCTCTCCAGCTCTTAGCTCAGACTTGTTAGGTTGTCCGTTCCCGGCTGCTCTGCATGACTCAGGGGCAGATGTGGCTGTTCATTACAGTAGCACAGGGAGCCATTATCAATTTCCGCACACTTAACCTGTAGAACGGACGCAAACCCCCTACGTTGTCTAATAACAGATGACCTGTGTGCTGAAGAACAACACAAGTTTCACAACAATCATTACATCGAGGAGGGAAACGTTTTCAAAGTGGTTTGTAAGCACATTGGGATTTCGAGTCAATTTGCTCTATACAACACGCAACGGGCCCCGTGTTTCCGGTCAAGATACGGGGGGGGGAGGAGTTTTGAAGCTTTATATAATGTGTTGTCAGGGGTCAGGGCCCCTAGCACTAAACTAAGCGGTTTCATGAGGTGCCGATCAGGGTCATGCAAGCCAGTAGGTCTATTGGTAAAACTGGGATAGATCCAGGAAACCGGAATGCTATTCAGAACATCGCAGCACCACTTTGGGCCTCAGTTACAGTGGGAGAACTGATCCAGAGGTAAGTTCCCGGTTCTGACCCACTGGTAGAGCAATCAGTCACAGGCCCCTGGTAGTGGCAGTGAGCAGAGAACCCCGGTACGGAAAAGCGAGCCAAGCCTTAAAGAGACGGCGAGGAAGCCCTGTCGGCGCGAGAGCTTTATGTTCGAACTTCGGAACACACTCTCGGTACCTTCAGGGGGAGCGCATTCAAGCTATTTGCATAAGAAGCTCTTGCGTCAGAAGCTTTTTTGTGTTGCATTAGAGGTGATGTCGTGGAGAAGTCTTTGCATTAGAAGTTATTTTGCGTAGAAGCTTATGCGGTAGCAGTTCTTACATTAGAAGCAATGTCATGTGGAAGATTTTTGCCGTAAGTTTTGACTTGTAGAAGTTATGCGCTAGATGTTCTTGCATAAGACGTGACGTCACGTGAAAGTTTTCGCGTAGAAGGCTTGTTGCATAGAAATAATGACGCGCAGAAGCATTTGTGTTGTGCCGCATAAATCGTATGCATGACAAATTCTTGCATCAGATGTAATGTCGCGGGGAATGTTTTGCCTTTGACGTCATGTAGTGGAAGTTTAGGCGTTAGCAGGAGTTGCGTTAGAAGTTCTATCGTGGAACCCACCAGATTGTGCCGTGACTCCAAACGGTCACGTGACGGGTGCACCCCCGCCCGAGGATATCAGATGGTTTCTGCTCAGCGAGCGGTCACGGGGCTGTTGCCTCTCATAGCGTTCCATGAGCGTACAGATACCTAACGTGTATAGATCCGTATAATTCACACTAACCTTACAGCGCATTGTCTCGTTGGAGCCCGCGTGCGCGCAGCCCCGTCAGGCCTGACTGATGACGCGGGTCCTGGCCCTTCCGCCGCAGGGCCTGCCGGAGGGCGACGGTCAGTGGCACCCTTCCATGAACTGCTCAGAGTCCGTGGTGCTCCGGGACCGCATGATCACGGAGGCGAGCCTGCCCATCAAGACCGAACACTCCTACTGCAGCGCCGAGGCCGACCAAGCCATGGTCATCGTCAAGGAAGAGGTGGACGGTGAGAGAGGACGCAGAGAGGGGGATAGGCTGGTGACAATGCGGATCAGCTCCTGACGTCCGTTACCCAAAACCTAAGCGCCAGTTGTCGTATCGAATGACAGACGCTCCATCAGCAGCTGACGCCTAACGTCCGACACCCCACTGAATGTCTGCTACGAGTACCTGACACTCTTCTCACACAACGTGACGGCAGACGCCGCAAATATTTGTGGGTGTCGTCACCCGACATTCTAGTAGCGCGCCCTGAAGGCCTGACGGAAGCGTTGCCCTCTGACACCCTCGTTGGCAGTATGTTTCGAGTGTCGGACACTCTTCTGACCTCCGTGTGGCCGGGCACGGTCGGGCTGCATTCCTGTTCTGCCGGCCTGGAGCCGGACGGTGTGGCGCGCGGCGCGCCGTGCAGTTAAAGGGTCAGCGACCCCGGCCGGCACCGGTCACCGCTGGGGTCAAGGTCGTCCATTGGCGGTCGCGCTCTCTTGTCCCGTCGCTCGCCCGTTCCCCGCCTCGCTGAGATAACTGGGGCGGGCGACACTTCCGAGCGGTTCCATGCCGGCACATGTACGTAACGTCTCGGGCTTCTTGGATGGATTAAGGAGATATCTCCTGTTTAAAACGCAGCTTAGTTTGTGTTGAACTGATCGCTCACGCTGCATCGCTGCCAAGACCGCTAAATTACTCTGTATTTTTTCTGTTGCTTTTACATATTAACGGAAAGGCCAAATAAAGACACATTTTTCGGAGAGAAGACCAGTAGTCAAATCACGTATTCGATACCATAAATAACTTTCTTTCTTTCACTAACCGGTGACATTGGCCTTGTACGCACATCGCTGGTGCTGTGGTCGAACACCGAACGTCTTATCCCTTCGATGTCCATACTTAGACCTGGACAAAGGTGCTCATGATCCAGGCATGTTCTGGACGCACTTGGCCAAGGAGACGGCCGCTTCCCGCTGCCGGCTGACTCGAGAGCGAGTCTGCTGACAGTGGTCGGCCGCCGCCGGCCGTCCTCCGGCTTGGCACGGCGCCGTTGAACCCGCCGGCCGCCGGCTGACGACGCTGCCACCGATCGTGGCTACTAAAATGCGCCGTCATGACTGCTGAAAGACGGACCGGCGGCCGGAACGCGGGCGAGTGGCGTAGTGCGCCGATTGCAGCCTGTGAGGCGTACGGTGGTTGTTTGGGACGATATTTCTGTGCTCCGCACGCTATGACTAGCGCACGACCATACTTGGGCTCTGCTTTCAGCAAATGTTGGCAGTTGTCAGTCGGGGGCAGGAGGGCCGCGCCACGTCTGACTTCATAAACGAGGTGTCACACGAGTCAGCGGACAAGTGCCCCTCCAGTTGTGTCGTAAAGCAAGACCACTAATGCAACGGTGACAAAAACCCAACCCTGCATGACTTGTTCGTGCCCTTCACAAACGGACGTCGCATTTTACGTAAAGGGAATGGTCCACTTTTGAAGATATTTAAGCAAGCATCGTAAACGATGAGATAACTTCACTGATCAGTAATGCTTTGTACTGAAAAAGGCTGCTCAAGACAGCACAATTTGTTTCTGTATCTATGCTCTACATTTCGTCATTACTTGGTTACGTCATCGTACCCTGCACAACATTGATTTAAAGCTAATTGACGGCCGTTATATCTGGAAATCGTGCTCACGAAAGCCAGATGTGAATGACTTGACAATTACATTCTGGTCGACCTTGATCTCTGCATCCTTAACGAAATGGCTGGATTTGAATGACGTTATTATGACATCATGGATACCTGGCTGGCGTTGACATGGTCTATCCGAAAAAGTCTTCACATCTTCGCGGGTAGCTCAGAAATTCGAGAGGATTACGTCTTTAGAAGGGCCGGACGGTGAACTGCACAGAATGATCTTCAAGATGGGTATTTCACTTTAAAACATCATGCAAATGTGTAACACTCCCTTGTATCCTTCGTGAACGACAAGCACCTGCCTGCCATCACTCAACCACCGTTGAAAATGATTTGACGACCACTGCTTTGTAGCGTGCATCAGGATCAGTCGCTGGAACTGCGACTTCTGGAGTTTGAGACCTCCCGGATAACCAGCGTAGTTGATGCACCCCAAAGCAGCAAGGAGTTTGAGGCATCATGCTAGTCCTACCCACGGAGCGACGGACATCCGCGGCCAGTCCTGTTCACGGGGCGACGGACAGCCGCGGCCGGTCCCACCCACGGGGCAACGGACAGCCGCGGCCGGTCCCACCCTCGAGGTGACGGACATCTTCGGCCGGTCCCACCCTCGAGGCGACGGACAGCCTCGGCCGGTCCCACCCGAGGGGCGACGGACAGCCGCAGCCGGTCCCACCCTCGAGGCGACGGACATCTTCGGCCGGTCCCACCCTCGGGGCGACGGACAGCCGCGGCCGGTCCCACCCTCGAGGCGACGGACATCTTCGGCCGGTCCCACCCTCGAGGCGACGGACAGCTCGGCCGGTCCCACCCACTGGGCAACAGACAGCCGCGGCCGGTCCCACCCTCGAGGCGACGGACACCTCGGCCGGTCCCACCCTGGGCAACAGACCCCGGCCGTCCCACCCTCGAGGCGACGGACAGCCCGCCGGTCCCACCCTCGAGGTGACGGACATCTTCGTCCGGCCTCCCACCCACGGGCAACGGACAGCCGCAGCCGGTCCCACCCTCGAGGCGACGGACATCTTCGGCCGGTCCCACCCTCGAGGCGACGGACAGCCGCAGCCGGTCCCACCCTCGAGGCGACGGACATCTTCGGCCGGTCCCACCCTCGAGGCGACGGACAGCCTCGGCCGGTCCCACCCGAGGGGCGACGGACAGCCGCAGCCGGTCCCACCCTCGAGGCGACGGACAGCCTCGGCCGATCTTACCCTCGAGGCGACGGACATTTTCGGCCGGCCCTGTTCAAGGGGCGACGGACGGTCGCGGCCGGTCCCCACCCACTGGGCAACAGACAGCCTCGGCCGGTCTTACCCTCGAGGCGACGGACAGCCTCGGCCGGTCCCACCCGAGGGGCGACGGACAGCCTCGGCCGGTCCCACCCGAGGGGCGACGGACAGCCGCAGCCGGTCCCACCCTCGAGGCGACGGACAGCCTCGCCGGTCCCACCCTTGAGGCGACGGACATCTTCGGCCGGTCCCACCCTCGAGGCGACGGACAGCCGCAGCCGGTCCCACCCTCGAGGCGACGGACATCTTCGGCCGGTCCCACCCTCGAGGCGACGGACAGCCGCGGCCGGTCCCACCCTCGAGGCGACGGACAGCCTCGGCCGGTCTTACCCTCGAGGCGACGGACAGCCTCGGCCGGTCTTACCCTCGAGGCGACGGACAGCCTCGGCCGGTCTTACCCTTGAGGCGACGGACATCTTCGGCCGGTCCCACCCTCGAGGCGACGGACAGCCTCGTCCCGCGGCCGGCCCCGCTCACGGGACGACGGACGGTTGCGGCCGGTCCCGCCCACTGGGCAACAGACAGCCGCGGCCAGTCCCACCCGAGGGGTGACGGACAGCCGCGGCCGACCCCACCCGAGGGCAACAGACAGCCGCGGCCGGTCCCACCCGCGGGACGACGGACAGCCGCGGCCAGGAATGCTGACATCCCTGGGGCAGGTTGGGGCTCGGATGGCGAGAGTGAAGTGTCGCTTCTTATACGTCATGGGTGATCCATCTGGTGAACGTGGCGGGTGCTTCAAGGATGACTCGTGGCCATGTGATGGGGCGGTGGCGAAGGATCTCGGCACCCGTAGCGACGATGCCTCATCACATATTTTGCAAGTGAGAGGTGAAATGCCCTAGGGTTTGGTAAGAACTCTTTTGACACATGACCTATTGAGAGCGGGAATTGCTAGCTCTGGAAGTTTGCTCCACCAGTTGTCGTTTGTGCGGTAAAATGAAATACTGTAATTCTGCATCATTAGGCCGTTTTCATAATTTGGCACGGGAACAACAATGCGCTTACGCGTTTCTTTGTTTCACGTTTTGCTGCGTGCAAGTTAATGGGAACGTCAAGGTTTGGTTCCATGCTTGGAACATCAGGAAAAGGCGCTTTGGACCCAGTCTCTGGGAAGATGAGAACTATATGCATATATTTCTCAGAAAGCGGTGCTAAATCGGATTGCCACCAGCAATGCATGTTGCAAAACTGATGCACCTCTGGCATATCACAAACATGAGAGAGTCTGCGCAAGAGAGAGAGAGAGAGAGAGAGAGAGAGAGAGAGAGAGAGAGAGAGAGAGAGAGAGAGAGAGAGAGAGAGAGAGAGCGAGAGAGAGAGGATAGGGGATAGGAGGGAGAGGGAGGGGGGGAGAAGGAAAGGGAGAGAGAGAGGGATATATATATATATATATATATATATATATATATATATGCATATACTTGCATAAGTCGTGGAATTTTTGGCCGTGGTATCCATGCTCAAGAATGAATACCACCGTGGAGCAAATTCGTTTTAGGTGTCACATAACCAATGGTTTTATCCGTCTCATCGTATTGCGTCGTATTGCATCAAGTTGTTTGGTCAAATCTCAATGAGAAGACGCTTATGAAACATCTTTGTTGTTGTTGAGAGGCTGGCTGTGGATTATCGTCCTCATCATGCGAACCCGCCGTACGGCGCGAGATTAGATGCAGGTATGAAGAGCAAGCGATGAGATAACATCTGCCGTGCAGACCCCAACATTTGCCACTGCTGTAGAGATGGAGAGCCAGCCCCGCGCTAACCACGGTGTGTGGACGTCGTTGCAGAGATGGAGAGCGAGTGTTTCCCGGCGATTTCGATGTGGAAGGCATCCGGGGTGGACGACAGAGACCAGAAGGTTACCGTGCTGAAGCCCGTGCTGAAGCGCCGCTCGGCCGCCGCCTCCGGCCCCACTCGGCAGCCGCCACAGCAGCAGGTGCGGCTGCCAGCAGCCGCCGGCGGTGCGGCGCCGCAGCCGGTGGCCAATCGCCTCATCGCTCAGGCGCAGCAGGGCCGACAGGTGCTGCCGGGCGGCGCTGTCCACGCGGCCAAGGTATCCATCTGTCCGTCGGCGCACACAGAGCACTCGTCGGTCTGCTCGTTCACACGGCAGCATGCCGCCGTCTTATGTTGTGTGCGACTTGGCTGCACAGTGCGACAGAAAGGCGCTATTCATTCGTGCAGATCAACAGGCACTCTGTTTAGCCGTATTCCGCGATCGTGCTGACCAGTAGCGTGGTCGCTTCAGACCCAACACTTGCCCTGGCCGTGTTCCTGGTGACTAGAAGAGTCATCCCCTCAGACCCAACACTGCTGCCGGAGTTGCTGTTCAACTCAAGCCGCCATATCCCTGTCTCACGTCTCAGACCCAGCACTGCTGCCAGGGTTGCTGCTCAGCTCGAGCCGCCATATTCCTGTCTCATGTCTCAGATCCAACGCTGCTGCCCCGGCTGCTGCTCCGTTTGAGCCGCCATATCCCTGTCTCACGTCTCAGATCCAACACTGCTGCCCTGGCTGCTGCTCAACTCAAGCCGCCATATTCCTGTCTCACGTCTCAGACCTAACGCTGCTGCCAGGGTTGCTGCTCAGCTCGAGCCGCCGTATCCTTGTCTCACGTCTCAAGACCCAGCACTGCTGCCAGGGTTGCTGCTCAGCTCGAGCCACCATATTCCTGTCTCATGTCTCAGATCCAACGCTGCTGCCCCGGCTGCTGCTCTGCTCAAGCCGCCACATCCCTGTCTCACGTATCAGACCCAACACTGCTGCCCCGGCTGCTGCTCCGCTCCAGCCGCCATATCCCTGTCTCGCGCGGGTTGAAGCATCGCGATTGTTATCACCTGATGGACTTCTTTTTGTATGGACCCCGTCCGTCATGTCGTCGCGTTGACACGTGCCCCGTGGCTTGCTCCCCCACGCCGCGTGATTGAGTCATGGTGCCGCGCTCTGCGATCTGACAGTAGCCGGCCAGTGGAGCTTTCAGCATGCGTCGCGCTGTTCTGACGAGCATGTCTATGTTTGCAACAGGTATCAACTGGCCAGTTGCGACCGCAGACCATAGTACTGACGGCGACCGGGCCAGCCACTCCTCGTCGCACGGCCGACGGTACCGTCATTCCCCGGCTCAGCGTCAAGGTCGAACCCAGTTCAGGTGAGCCCAGTCCCTGTCGTGATATAGTAGCCAGATATACCACCAGGTCAGGTCAGGTGAGCCCTATCTCTGTCGTCCTATGGCAGCCAGAAGGTAGCTAAACGGGTCACGTTTGACCGGGTCAACCGAGGTCGTACAGCAGGCTCCGATGACACAGCGTCCCGGCCCCGGCCCTGGTCCCGGCCCAGGCCCCGACCCCGGCCCCGGCCCCGGCCCCGGCCCCGGCCCCGGCCCCGGCCCCGGCCCCGGCCCCTGCCCAGATCCAGACCCAGACCCAGCCCAGCTGGCGCGCGGTGTCCATCCTCACCAATCGTGTCATTGGCAAAAACGCACAGCCCTGGAGCGGCAGGATTGCGCTCCTGTGCCGCTTCTCACCCGAGTCGGCGCCTCTCGAGAGACCTGGTCACTTTGGCCCGATTACTCACCGCGGGAACGGTGGAAAGGGTCACGTTTGACCTTCAGCCGGTCTTTGATTTATTGTGCATCGAATTTGTCGGCGCCTCATATGCGCTATGTTTACGTGTCATGGTTGGCTCACCCCTGAATTCCACTTTGCGATCTTCGACCGTGAGCATGGGTCATGCTTGGCACATCGCACCCTTCGCAGTGTCGCTTGCAAGCATTTAGAGGTTGTTAACTGACGAGGTTGTTAGCATTTAGAGGTTGTTAACTGACGTGAATATGGATGCCGCCAACACCTGTTGGTGACACTCACCTGCTGTGGCAGCGTTCTCGCTGCCGCCAACTCCTCCATCGTCTGACTCGGACGGCGGCACGTCACCCGTCCACACGGGCTCGCTGGCGTCGCCCGTGCGCGCCGCCCCCCAGCGGTCGCCCAAGGTGCTGGTGACGGCCGGCAAGCCCGTCTGCAGACAGACCATCGCCTCGCCGCTCATCTCCGGTCACTGGGTGAGTGCGGACCTGGACCGGTGGCCCGGCCCTGCCCTCGGGCCCGCTGTCGGGACGGCGACGCTGGATACGAATGAGTCGCGGAGCGGCTCGCAAGGCGTGCGTTAAATGATTTTGTACCTGAGTGACCGGCCAGACCCGACGCGATCCAACTCTGCAATTTCGCTTCTGGAAGACTTACAACTTTGCATCCCATCGGCATACAAAGATAACATTTTGGCTACATGGCCGCATCATATTTTAACATTCCTGTTGAACCGTTTGCCTTGATTCACTTGATTTACTTCAAATTGTTGACCCCGACAAGTTCAACGCGCACCTTGTCCGCACAACGCTGCCGCACTATTCGCTGATTGACTACTTTAATTTCCACCTATATTGGAATGTATGGCACAATATGGTGCCATGATAGAAGATTGTAGACAGAAGGAGTATCTTTATTTTAGTGACGTATGGTGCATCTGTCTGCCTGTCTGTCTATCCCATTTTGTATTGCGTCGTTACCGGACCGGACGGCGGGTCGCTGAATGGGGAAAGTTGGACACGATGCACACGCGGACATGACAACGTGCATTGTCAAGTTTCGTGGGAGCGCGGCCTGCGGACAGCGCGTGGTACTTGCTACAGTGACTTGCTGCAATGTGGTATGGTGGCCCATTGGTTTTGAAAGGGCGGCGGAAAAGTGGAAGCGCACGAGCCAGCAAAGTGGGTGTTCAACACTGTGCTCACCCCACAGGGGCACCGGCACGGCCGGCGTGAGGACTGTGATTTTTGTGAGGTTTTTGAGTGATTTTTTGGAGGGTTTTTAATCAGCAGGGGCTGTGTATCATACCTGTGCCAACCCTGCTGTTGACCGAAGCGCCCTGTTTTCGCCCGTCCTTTGGAAGTGCTGCGAGCTGAGTGTATCTTTTGTCCAACAGAAAAATGGGGCATACGACACGTTATGCCTGACTGAGGAAGAGAAACGGACCCTGGTGACCGAGGGTTATACCGTACCATCTCGGCTGCCGCTGTCAAAGACGGAGGAGAGGTCACTTAAAAAGATTCGGAGGAAAATCAAAAACAAGGTGAGCGCGATCGACTCCCACATCATGTAAAATTGTGTTTAGCTGGGATTGAACGCAATCTTACCCAAGCCCTGGTGGCAAGCTGACTGGCGCGAGAAAGCGGCTGTGGATGCTTCGAGGATATGCACAAACCCTTACGGTAAAAGGCGTAACTTTAATGTTTTGTTTAAGTGACTTCATTAATATCCCGGTGCATCAGGAGATTGTTACGTGCACATATAGAACCAGATATCGATGCGTCCTGTCATTGGCTGTATATATCTGTTGAGGGGTGTTCCGGAGCCTTGCAAGCTCATGCCGTGCCGTAATGCGTGCCTCCACTACAGGGCTGCCCCACAAAGGTTATGGCTGCCCGCAACTTGTGCAGAAATGACCGGAGAATTGTGTTACATGCTTGGGCCTCAGTGCGTCGGGATTGTTGAAGGGATGTTCCACACATAAGATATTGGAGCAAGCATGAGATATTATGAAATAAGTTCACTTACAGCTATTGGTATGCCTCTACCAACTTCTTTTATCTAGCATAAAACGTGATTCGTGTTTGAAACTTGTACTGCTTGCGCGAAATCGTTTGAGATCCACCCCGAATGAGCCAGACGACTGAACGATAATATTCTTTTTGGCCTTGAATGTCGCATGGCCAATGAGGAGGCAGTATTTGAATGATATTTCTGTGGCGTCGTACATACCTGAATGACCTTGAAATGGTCTGCACGAATTAGTTCGCACATCTTCACGGGCGTTTAGCTCAGAAACTAGAGGGTTTTAAGTCTTAAAAAGGGCACGGCCGGAAACTGCACGTAATGATCTTCAAGACATGGGTATGTCAAAACCGATGACTGGTAAGCCATCACTGTAAAGCTCAGCCGCGCGCCTTAATGTGCGTCGGTCCTCGCCTTGCCTCCCAACTGTAACTACCCAACTGTAACTGTGACCGCAACTGTATCAACACTCCTCCTGCCCGGCAGGCTCCGTTGGCGGTCTTCGTAACCTTCCAACTGCTCTGTCCACGACCCTGATCTATCTGCATCCTCGCCAGATCTCAGCGCAGGAAAGCCGTCGAAAGAAGAAGGAGTACATGGACCAGCTGGAGCGGCGGCTCGTCCGGATCGTGGCCGAGAACGATGGGTACCATGCACGGCTAGCAGAGCTAGAGGACGAGCACCGTCAGCTGGGCAACCAGCACAGCCAGCTGGAGACGCGCAACGCCTTGCTGCTCCGGCAGCTGGCGCAGATGCAGCTGGCGCTTGGACGGGACGCCGGTAGTAAGGTGAGCCGAGAACCGACTGCGACTCGGACAAGGTAGGCAGCGCCGGTAGTGTAGTGCTTAACGCGTCTGTTGACGCGTCTGCGCTAACCACTGCGCGTCTGGGAAACCAGAGGTACGGGGTTCGATTCCCCGCGGCGCCCGCCCTTCCCGCCAGGGTGAGAGGCAGGCGACGCCTTATAGCCTGAGCAGCTGAGTACGTCGTAAAGCCCCAATGACATGACATGGGTGCTATATCGTAGGCTGTATAGGGTCGGTGTGTAGCGGATGGGTCTGAATGAAGCAGCATTCACAACACAGCACCCAAATCCTATGGTTTTGTTGTTGATCGGGTTATGCACAGGCATGCGGCACCATCGTTTCTGTTGCATGTTGCAAACGTTCACGTTGAATATTGTGTGCAGTTTAATGGTACACATTCTTCTTGCAGGAGCTGAACGAACGCCCAGTGCTAATCAAAACTGAACAGTTGTGAAGCCGTGTCCGAAACATCTCATTAAGTAAGCTTGAAAGCAGGGAAGGTGTGGAGGTTCTTATCGCTGGTTTAGTCTCAAAAACCTTGGCTTTGTGGCGTGTCTGCGGATGAGGGGGAGGGGGCAGCCTATGATAAGGATGGGTCCAAATTAGCGTTCTGGGGGTAAACCGAGCATTTGTGGTCCAAGCTGTGGAAGCAATCCGATCAGCGCTGTAACTGGGAGGCCGCAGAAGACCCACAGAGAAGGAGAGGGGACATGACCCATGGAGGACGCCAGAGTTCTTACACGTTTGTTCGCCCACGTATTTCTTGTCATACGGGCCGCTGTATACAACCGTTGCCTCCAAAATGCTTTTGAAACTGCTGATGTAGGATGCAAAAAGCATCAAAACAGGAAAGCCGTCGTCAGCTGTGATGAGCCAGGCCACCCGGCAGCACGCACGAAGGCCTCTGCTCGCCGGGGGCACACAGGCACGTGCTCGGCTCTGGCCTGCGTGGCCCCGGGGCGGCACATTCACGTGGCGCTGCGCTTGTTCCCAGGTGCGGCAGCCACCGGCTCAAGCGCTGCCGTCTAGTCTTCCATCATCATCGGCGGCGGGCGGCGGGCGTCGCTCCAGTGACGCTCGCGAAAGGTCCGCAGGGCTAGAGTGCCGGCGTGATAGCGACAGGCCGCGCTCGACAGTTCGTTACGCCCCTCTCCGCCTACCAAGATGTGTCTTATGTTGTTGATGCCGGACACTCCGGCGTGTATAGGCCATGCGTCATGGGACGGCGTGAATAGGCCATGCATCATGGGACAGCGTGCATGGGCCATGCATCATGGAGACAACCATGGTACTCCACAGGGTCACAAACGGCAATTCGGAGCCAAGCTATCTTCTATCGACACAAATATTCTCTTTTTAACAGCATCCGATCGGGTCCAGGGCCTGGATAATGTCGATCTGGATCTGGCGGAATACAAGTTAACGGCTTGCTCCGAACTAAGCCGAAGGTGCTTGAGAATGGAAACAGGACTAGTGTTTATGAAACGCTAATATTATGAATGTTTCCGTTCAGAGCACCCGCACTTCCTACATTCCAGATAAGAACATATATATTAGCATGATTGATGCATGCATTATAGCATGGTAGCATTATAGATTACTGCTGTCGGTTTATGGGTCGCACAGTATACCAGGAAATGTGTATGTGTACGCGTTCCATGCCATTTAGGTCTTGGTATCGTTTGTCAAATGCAGACGCCATGAGCTTGACTTGTTTTGAACGGTGATTTTTTAAGGGTGCTGAGTTATCGAGTCTTTTTTGGAAAACTCACATTTACTACCCTTGCTTTCCAGGAACTCCTTAAATCTTAAAGGAGTGCTCTATTTTGGAAAAAGTTAGCCAGACGTGTATGAGAATTTCCCGCCCTACACCATCTCCCATCGTAACTAGTCGTGATCTGGACAACTTTTATCCAAACTGGAATACTGTGCTTTTGTTACGAACAATTCAGAGGGAGGGGGAGGGGAGGGAGAGAGGAACGGGGAGATGGAGATGGAGAGGGAGAGGGGGAGATGATAGAGATGCTGCAGGCGGGTTACGACGGAGGCATAGCATCACTCTTGCATACTGCTTCCTTTCAATGGGCCCCAGTAGTCTGACTCTGCTCACCAACAAAAGTAAGCCACCTATATGGAACCCTGCGCGCCCTCAACCACAGAAAACCAAACAAAACCACAGCAAACCAAACTCCAAGCGACAAGCCTATCTCCTGGCTTAGCGTATAACCAGAAAAATAGTAAGGAACAGGGAATATCCTGTACACGTACCGCCAAAGCGCATCTTGATGACTCCCGCAGTTGGCGTAAGAATGCATGACGTAATAATACAATAATGAGCATTTGGCACCGATTTTGAACAAAATGTAGAACTGTGGTCGAGCTAAGAGGGTTAAGTCATTTTGTTTTCGGTCGGCAACTGGATTGGGCTTCATATGTTTCAATTTGATCAACCATGTCATTTCATGACTTTGGCCACAACAACCAACCGATTTGATAGCTATGTTATCAAGCTAGTTTTCCACATCAAAATTCGATTTCATAGTGACAGGGATTCCGAATTACACAAAGACCAAGAAAACACGCGCACCGTATTTATCGCCTTCTTATCAGCTCTGCTTGTCTTTCGCCATCAAAGCAGAATTTCCCAAGGGCAATATTTCTCGCGGTGGCCTCGCGCTGGGTACGGGTCATGGCACTTACAACAACTATTGCATTTGTTAGTTAACAAAAATACACACGGGAGGCGAACGCGTCGAAGCAAAAAACATTAATATCATAGAGGTGCAAAGCACGTTTTGAATATGCAAGATAAAAAGGAATGAGGCAAGCGGTTGCAAATGCGATTTCACCAAACGGCACGGCATCCTCCCCAAGAAAAAGGAATTGCAAGCAAATAAAAGATGGGACACAGTCAGACGTGGACTGATGCGCGCACTATGAACACCCGAGATGAAAGAAAGGCACCGAGGTCTGCAATCAACGCAAGAGCGCGCCGCGTGTCCCGAATGCCCATTCCGGGCGGCAAACCTATCGACAGCATCTCTGTATGAGACGCATGAGAACAGTCCAGGGGCTAATCACCAGTCCAGGGCTATCGAACAGAAAAGCGCAGACACAATTCGCGTCTTGCGAAGCAGTAGGCTACCGGGACACGCGCTGCAATGTCCTGCAAAGCTAAATTAAATTTTGTTGAATCATGCTAATTCATATGCTATATTCAGCTAAGTTATGTAATGATATGGTGGATAAACCGCGGAGTAATACCTCAGGACGAGGTCAACCGACGAAGGCGAGATTGCGCGACAATCCTGACACGACGAAACTTCGTGCGGAGGCGTATAACTAACACAATACACATAACGGTAGGCAGTGCAGTACGCACGATAATGACTCATTATGTAGCGTACTCAAGGAGGTCCATGGGCAGACACCTGGCAGACCAGCGAAACCGACCCAATGCTCACAGGGTGCTAAAACAGTGCCTGTGGCCTACTTTAGAGTGCCGCGGGTCTCGGTCCACTTCACTGCACCATATTACCGCCCAGCTCTCGGTCGACGAAGACTGTGGCGATGCCGGCACTGCGAGAGGCTTACGGGAGCGGGCACGGCGGCAGAAAATGGAGGCAGCTGGAGTGTGACGTTTTACAGGGCGGAAAGCGCCCGTAGTCCACCGATTCCCTTTGCTTTCATGCACGCGGCTGTTTGAGAAGAGTTGCCAAACTATTATGGTGAACGGTGAGTGTCCTACGCGCCCCTCCTAAAGCGGACGCTTCAGCTCATGACGCCAATCTGCTCTACGGCGATGGCCCGCCGGTAAGGGCGCAGCAACTTGTAGTACTGGTCGTTTGGGACCACGGCTCGGTGTAGAAGAACTTGCTCACCCAGTCAAAATTTATCCCATTAAGCTTTTAGTCATATGCCCTCATATGTGTACTTTGACGGGCAATTGCGCCGCGAGGGGCAGCCCCTTGAAAAGGACGAAGTGACTCACACAGCCATTCAAAGCACTCAACAGCACTGTTTGACCGGACTTTGCTGTGGGAAATTTTGAGCTCCACCTCTCCTGGCAGCCTTGGCTGCCGGGCTAAGAGGAGTTTGTACTGTGAAAACCCCGCAGTCTTGCTCGCCTCAGCGCGATACGCTAACAAAAGCAGTGGAATGTGTTCGTCTCGGCAGTCGCGCGCATTGTCATCGAGAAATGTAGCAAACATTGAAATGGCCGTCCTAATGTCTCATTCCACAATGCCATTTTCACGGGGGTGGGCGCTGGAAATCGTCGACTTATCGATACCCAGGCACTTTCGCGCGAGTTCTAACACCTCGCTTACAAAGCAACCACCCCGATCGGAGTACACTTCCACTGGGCAACCAAAGCGAGCTATGAAATGGTCAACAAGGACCTGTGCTACGCTGGCAGCCGACACATCATTTAACACGCGCACGGGTCGGGGGTCAAATTGACCCCCCGAAGAGTTTTCCAGAAGTTTCCGACCGGCGCGGCGTAGCCGTGCCAGATTTTGCATAGCTGTAGATAATTGAATAGCGGATCGTTTGGCATCAAGAATTGAGATGTGCCTTGTAAGGTGGCTGACCTATGGCAGGTCAAAGTCAGGCCATGGTTTCAGCGAAGGCAATTTCTTCAGAATCCTTCAATCTGATCCAACAATGGAGTGTTAGGCGAAACCATACATATCTGAAATGCTATCCTAGGCAACACAACAGTTGAATGAGCGTATGAAATTAACCTTAGGTCAGGTATGAAGGTCACACCAAGGCTAAAACCAACCTGTTTTGATACTTTAGGGCTTGCTGTGTGGGATAGTTTCTGGTGCTCATTTCGAGTTTATTGATAGCAGGAACAGCACCATACGTCTTCCATGGACTTCTTAAAGATCAGAATAGGTCATTGACCTAAAGTGACCCAGGTCAACATTTTGTTTTAGGAACATGCTGCCTAGCGTAATCTTTGTCGCTAAGTTAAATGCAAAACTCAGAGCGATCTTGTATGATTTTGGTCACCTTGACCTTCAAAAGGCCAAACCAGGTCACTGACCTTGGATGAAAATGTGACTTTTTGCCTTGAAACAGTTATCTAGGTTCTGGGGGCACTTTGGACACCAACCTGGAACTTGACCTTGTTGATCGCCCCCACCCGAGCGAAGGGTATCAAGCCGGCCACCCGGGCGAGTGTTAAAGGATAGGCTTCTGCTCACTTTGAAGAGAAATCGACTACAAGTAGCAAGCGTTTATTTCGGAAAGGGGTGCCCGGTAGGCTAGTGAGAATGTCTAAATCCACTAGTTTAAATGGATGGAACGCATGCATGCGACCTGTTGCGGCTCTAGGGGCCGGCACCGGTGCATTCGTACCCTCACAACGGCGGCGCTGCCGGCAGGAGCTCTTTACACCGTTCTCCAGATGCAGCCAAAAGAAACGGAGACGGCATTTAGCCAGAACTTTTTCTGGCCCGCAATGTCCACCGGATGGACTGTTGTGTAGTGACTCAAGGACGAACATCGTGAGTGACGCAAGCAGGACAAATTGAAGTTCATCATCTGATTTGGGACGGAGATGATACGAACGGAACAAAGTGCCATACAGCAGGCAGAGGCGCGCTGCAACGTTGCAGTAACGCATTGCTGCACCGTTGCAGCGCACCGTTGCAGCGTGCCGTTGCAACAGCGCGCTGTGTAGTAAATGTCGGCTTTGAGACTTGATGCGCCGAGATAAGTGCTTCGTCTGTTCGGAAATGGCTGGGCCAGCCTCCCGTTCTGTATGAATAAAGCTGAGGGACCAATGGGCACTGTCAGTAACACGGACCGCCTGGGGAGCCGGCTCGGTCTGAGTCTCAGGCGTCGGCCGTCTGCGCCGGTTTGCGATTCAGGGCGTCGGCCTTCTGCGCCGGTTTGCGACTCAGGGCGTCGATTGTCTGCGCCAGTTTGCGACTCAGGGCGTCGGTCGGCTGCGCCAGTTTGCGACTCAGGGCGTCGATCGTCCTGCGCCGGTTTGCGATTCAGGGAACCGCCCGCGCCGTTGGCCATCCCACATCTGTACTGAATATCAAAATCAAAGGCAGACAGCGTCCCTTTCCACCAGGCTGGGATGCCCATAGGACTGCGAAAGTTATGCAGCCAATAAAGGTTAGAATGATAACTTCGTAGCCAAAACTTTCCACCCAAGAGGTAGTGTTTGGAGTGAGTGATAGCCACAACGCGTACTAAGAGTTCTCTCTTTGTGATGGCGTAGTTACGCGGAGCCCAGAATAGCTCCTTACTGCCGTAGGCAATGACCTTTTCACCTTCTGGGGTCATCTGCAGCAACACAGCATTCACAGCCGAGCCGGATGCATCACATTTGAGGATAAAGTGGTCCGCCCGCCGCCAAACGAGGGCAGGGTGAGCACGAGAGCCTCTGTCAGGGCCTGCTTCAGCCTGTCGAAAGCTAGCTGGCACTCGGCAGACCAATCGAACTGGACGTCCCGGCTGCAGATGCGGAAGACGGGGGGGGGGGGGAGGGGGGGGGGGACAGATAACCGCGTAGCCCTTGGTGATTCTTTTTTGTTGTTGAAATAGTTACTTAGACCCAGAAATAGTGGCATCTGCCAGGCCGACTTCAGAACTGGCCAGCCTATCACTGTCTGCAACTGAACTAAATATCGTGCCAGGCCCTCGCCGAACTCAGCATGGCTCAAAAATGTGACCTTAGGCTG